TGTTACCACTCCTGTACATGCTAGTAAGTCTGTTGAATGTAGTGGCAGTACAAGCAGTGAAAGTGGTATGCACGGTGTTAGCAACAACATTCACACAACTGAAAGTGCAAGTAATGTATTGCAAACAAGATCAGGTAGAATTGTAAAACCTGTTGAACGTTTAGACTTGTAGATTTTCTGTATACTGTTTGTTACATATAAGCATGCTTAATGCAAGTGAACTTTATGAACTTTATTGAAAAAAAAATGTTGATTGTATGTTAAATGTAATAGATTGATGTTTAAAGGTTTAGAGACATTTAATTCCACACTTTATTAGTTGTTATCTTTGGGGGAAGATGTCATATACGTCTTGGCCTAAAGCGCCACCTGTGAGTAGTTACAGAAGAATGAGAAAAAAAAGACACGTGTGAATTAGCGTGTTCGTCTTTATTTGACATATATATATTCAGATACATAAGATGTCCATAAATATATAGTAATGAAACTAAAAAAGTTTTAATTTGTTATATTTATCTTATACAATTATTTGCCTAATATGTTGTGATAAGAAGGAATATGTCCAAACAAAAAAAAGCTGTTTTTGGATTGTGATATACTGAAACGTAAGTGGGATAAAGGTTTTTTTTTTTACCTTTGTACAACAGTTTGGAATGTGTTGAACAAGTTGTTCTGCCCCAACGTGTGTAAACTGTCCCACCATGGCTGGTATTGGCTGGTAGGCCTGAAAAACATATGTAAAACCTAGAGAACCATATTGTATACACTGTCCCACCATGGCTGTTATTAGCTGGTAGGCCTGAAAAACATATGTAAAACCTAGATAACCATATTGTATACACTGTCCCACCATGGCTGGTATTGGCTGGTAGGCCTGAAAAACATATGTAAAACCTAGAGAACCATATTGTATACACTGTCCCACCATGGCTGGTATAAGCTGGTAGGCCTGAAAAACATATGTAAAACCTAGAGAACCATATTGTATACACTGTCCCACCATGGCTGGTATTAGCTGGTAGGCCTGAAAACATACATTAAGTGTAGAGAACCATATTGTAAGCACCACACTGCCACACTGTTACAGGTTTTCATCTGTTGACTTGAACCATTTTGTGAAAAAAGAATGACTGGTAATGGTTGGTAGCTTTCAATACATATCAAACTAAATGGTTCACAGTGTGATTAATTTTGTCCTTTTTATAGCTTGCTCTTAAAGAGCAAAAAAACTTCAATAAAAGGGAAAATGAAAAAGTTCTGTTCTACACAGTAGAAGCACAAGAAATGCTACACAATATACGTTTGGAATGGTTCCAAATTGTATATTCATTCACAATTTTCTCCATTGAAAAGATCTAGTCATTACTGTTAGTTATAGGGCATTAGAATGTAAAACTCAACAAAATCTGCATGACTTTAAATATTAGAATCCAACCAAACTGAACTGCATTTCATCCCTATGAATCAATCCTACGTATGTATGAAATACAATTTTCCTTTCTTGGTGTATACTGATGGAAGTGCACAAAATAGTTTTATTATAATAATAATTTTTTTTTTTTTTTTTTTTTTTTTGCCAATTTTGCTGCAGTACTATATAAATATTGTTGTGACCAAGACTGTCATAGTGAACAGACAAAACAGTCAACAGGTAAATCAAACTATCATAAATAAAAACTTGAATATGAAAACTGAGGTCCAAATGAATGAAACCATTTTCACATATATAAATATTGACTTTAAATGGGGTCATCGCAGGGATATATTGAACCCAGAGGTGGGGTAATCGAGCGAGGCTGAAGCTTTGACTTGAGATCTCAAACACAGGCCTACCCAACTACGACTCTCTGCATCGAATGATCCTGATTTCACCAGTAGATTGGACCACACTACCCGTTTTCAAGGTGTGAATCAGTATGTGCTTCGAAAAATTAGACACAACGCTGCTCTTGCCTAGTATGCGATGTGATAGTGATGATTCTCAACGGGGTTGGAAAGTAGTGCATCTTATCTGAAAATTGTGGCATGATACTGTGAAATGCGTACTGACACACACCTTGAAAACTGGTACTGTGGTCTGATCTACCAGTGAATTTGGGATCATTTGGTGCTGAGTCTGGTGGTTGGGTAGGCCTGAAACAGTAATTATCCTTTATGAGTCCAGAATAATAAGTCACACAGTAATATATTTATTGTGTAGGCAGTGAAAATAGTGCACATCAATCTGTACATAAAAAGGTAGATTAATTAGGTTTAAAAACCTGTAAGCTGTACCTTTCTGATCTCCAATTTGTCCCAGCATTTGTTTGAGGATATCCAATGTTAGATATCCTGGGTCCCCTTTAGGTCCAGGTGGTCCCTTAGAAAAATGAACAAACATATGAACTATGAGTATGAATTATTTTTATGAATTAATTATTAATTATTTATAATTTATTTTGTGATGTATTACAATATATTTGAAGAAGTGGAAACAAGGGGTCAATGGTCATCACATCAAAGAATGCCTAACTGGTTGATTTTCAAACATTTTGATTTCCAATTACGTACTATCAGCACTTTAATTGTATATCTAGCAGCTAGCCATTTTACCTGTATTCCATCTCTGCCATCTTTACCATCTCTCCCAGGTAACCCCTGTGGTCCCTGAACACTGCTCCTTGAGGAGTTGCCAACTAAAAAGTATAAGTGTGATAAAAATTCAGATAGAGACCATTCCCAGACCCTATCATACTGACTGTGGATCGATCTGTCTCCAAGTGAATTCTTGCTAAATTGCAATCAGAATAAGAATGGGAACCCAGTCATACATTTCATTGGGTACTGACTAATTAGTCTTCACCATTCACATGCTGGTACTAGTCAAACAAAGGCCACAAGTGACTTCACCCATATCAATAATTTTTTATGAGTACAGGTTAATTCATATAAAAATTAACATATCATTTGCATCTAATATTTTACTGTTACAATGTAACACTTAGTGACTGGTGATAGTTATTTAAAAAGAAAATTGTATTAAATAGGAATGGCATCATTTATCATCATTTCCACCTTACATGGCAACAAAATGTGTTTACTGCTTACATCTATAAGTATTTTAAAATATCGACTAAACTGTTATAACTTAATATATCATCTTTAATATACAGAGCAGACCTGCTACCATTACCTTGTAGTGGTGACTGATATCCAAGCAGTCCAATGATTTGCTTGAGGCTGTCTACTGTTAAACCTGGGTTCTGTGGATAAATTTAAGACATCAAATTGATTTTGTAGCGCAGAGTTGAGAAGATTTAACACTTTGTCATTTCAAACTATGAGTTTATAGGGGGTTTAACATCCAATATAAATTGCATCTACATCAAGTCAGTATTTTATGCATATTGTTCACTATCAACTTATTTATACCCCCCCCTTAAAAAAAAACAAAAAAACTAAAGCTCAATTATCATACTTATTTCTTATACATACCAATATGGCTATTGTTTAATTTTATATTAAGATAATATAATGCGCTGTACATCATAGGAAGAAGATTGTTTTATTCATGTAATTTGTCATGATGAAAATTGGTAAAGTTACCTGAATTCCATCTCTCCCATCTCTGCCATCTCTTCCTGGGGGTCCCTGGGGTCCTTGCAGACACCCTGAACTTACCACTGAAATATAGGACACAGTGGTTTGAATTGCTGGTTTTTAACATGATACAGATGCTGCAAGTTGATACTCAACCATAAAATGTCTGTTGTCAAATATAATGTTATGTAGCATCAATATACCCTGTATCCTCTTAATATATTTTATCTGAAATTGTATAAATGTCTGTTCATTATCTCTAACAAATATTAATATAGCTTACAGTTTCCTTGCTGCACTTGTCTCTTGGTAATGGAATGGTTTCCATGCTGAAACTTTAATCTATTATTCTCCGCAGCCATGAAAGTTTGTGCATCAAGCTTCACCTTGATTTTCTGAATAACTGACTAATAAGGCAAAAGTTTAGGAAGGACATCAGTTTTTATAATATAGACAAGATATTTCATTTTCTGTATATGAAAACTGTAAAACATAAATCCTTTTTAAAACAATAAGTTAATTACCCAGTAAATTGTTTAAGTTATTAATTAAGTTAAAAGAGACAATTGAGAGACAGACCTAGTGAAACGTACATCCATATAATTAACTGATAATACTGGAAAAGGACAAAATTCAAAATACCTTAAGTTGTTTGTTTTCTTGCCTCACTGCAGCAACTTCAGCATTCAGTTTTTTCATCTCTTGTTCTTGTCTGTCCAGTCTTTCAACCAGTGTCACCAAAAAGTCATTACTGACATCAGGATGATGTTGTAAACTTGATGCAGTGACAGCAGTCACGATAAGTACATCAAATACAGAAAAATGCATGATGTGCACCATTTTGTGGCAGTCAAGGCTATGACCTGGGTGAGGCTAATAAAGGTTCTTATATTAATTGATTGAGCCATAATTTATCAACTGAACTTGTCAAACATGAATATTATACAGTATGGGGCTTAGTAACTCAGGTTTTTACAAATATTTGAATAATGATTATTACTAGTATGCAGGGGTGGATCCAGGATTATTTGAAGGGTGTGGACTATGTGTATGCAAAGCCAACCCTCCACCCCCCACCCCCCCCCCCCACCCTTGGCATGGGGTTTGGAATCTGCTGAAGGGCTCCGGAAATGTTGATATTGTAGAGATCTGTAGAAGATCTGAGATAAGACCTGGTTAACCTGAACTGAGCCAAATTACACGTAATCTGAACTAGGTTCTTAGATACTTAGACTGCGGGTATAATCTAGATGCTAGGGGCTCTAATCCACCGCTGGAAGCGATTCTAGGTACAGTACGCGATTCCCAACTTGGGTTATGCCAGGAGAGAAGAGTAACGCAACACCACTGTTTAGTTACAAAAATCAAAACTCATTTATTGTCATGTCACAGCCTGATTTATACCTAACATGGCGTGACACTTATTACGAGTTGCGCGCCCAAGCCCGCGACTCCGATCGAATAAATTTCCATTTTTATTAATGTTAAATTTTACTAGTCTGAACACGCCTTCCCTTTTCACCAAAAAAAATTTATGAAATACAAGTTTTTATTTTGTTAATACGTTTCCACCATATGGCTGGTATTGGCTGCTAGACAGTTAAAAACTTCTTTTAAACCTAGTGAGCCAAATTGGGTACACTGCTCCAACATGGCTGTTATTGTCTGGTAGACATTAAAACATACAATAAACTGAGAGAAACACTGTCCCACTAGCTTGAATATACTGTGCCAATATTGTAATACATTGAGGTGATACATCAATTGGTAACTTGGTATGATAAATTATTACATTTAATTGGGCTTGGCTGTAGAAGATCTAAGATTGGATCTGGACATACCAGTAAGCTTTGGATCATTCTGAATTTTTGCCATGATGTTCTATGATGTCTTTTGTCAAAGATCCAGTGTCACCTTTGGCACCAGGTGGTCCCTGACAGAACAAATAAGACATTAACATGTAAACAAACATGTTAGTGATGACAGTTATATTTAAAAGACTTTCTTTTTAATTACTTATACTGAGCGTTAGATGATTTGAAGCATTTGCCAGTATTGGAACATGATTACATTAATTATGTCTTTTTATGCTTTGATAATCAAAATGAGAGAAACTTGTAATATACAAATTTATCACCTGCAACCCCTCCCTTACATTTAACCCTGGGAGACTATCTCTACCATCTCGTCCATTTTTCCCATCTTTTCCTGGTGGACCTTGAGGACCCTGAGGACCTTGTGGTCAGCAATGACTGCCAACTGAAAGTGGAGTTCCCAGTTGGTTCTGTTTAGGATGTGCTTACTTAATTTTGCACTTCAAATAATCTACCAGAGCATCTAGAATGCATGTCTGATTTCTTTATGCCAAAGATGCACAATGGTTGTTCGTTTATGCCCCTTTTTAAACATATTTAGCTTGTTATAAGTTACACAAGCCAAGCACGTAAACTCCCACTTTATAAAAACTGTTGTGTTAGGATCCAACATTTTACATGACCCAAGAATAAATATTATACTGTACAGTACTCACAGTTGCAAGGTACTTGTCTTTTGGTTAAGTAATGGGTTTTGTTATCACCATCATTTGAGTACTTGGAGGTAGGGTTTTCAGGGTTTGGTAACAGTTCTTCCAGTTTAAGGCTTATTTCCTGTATTTTTGCCTAAAATACGGTAGCTTTGTAGGTTATAAATTTAAAGATGTTCTTGGGCATCTTTTTCAGCCTTTCCTTTGACAATAAAACCTTAAATCTTTTGCTATTTTCACAATTCTTTCATTCTAAAACAATATGATATCATCTTGATAAAGATATTTTGTATTGCAATTCAATATATAAGCAGTCTGTGTGTTCTCAATATGTGCCTGACAGTTGAAAAATTATAGGAGGATATTCTTTTAATATATATATACAGCTAAAGCAATACTATATTTATAATATGAATGTTAAAAATTTATAGCTCTAGCTCTGTTGCAAATTTTTCTACCTTCATGTTTTTATTTTCTATTTTGATTGTGTGAACATCTGCTTCCAATTTCTTCAACTTGGAAATTTCTACTTTAAACCTGCTATTTTCCTCCCGCAGCATTTGGCTTCCATGTTTTAGTTGGATTATCTCTTGTTCTTGTCTGTCCAGTCTTTCAACCAGTTTCATCAAAGCATCATCACTGATGTCAACATGGTGTTGTGCATGTAATGTTAGTGTCGACATAACAACAGCAGTTATAATGAGAAACATGCTCCTCACCATGGTGTATGCTATTACAGCAATATGCATGTCATATATCACGTACCTATTCTGGGTCTTTGACTTACAGTTTAAATATGATAAGTTGTTTATATAAAGAGATCTTCATTAGTTTGTGTGACACATTTTGGTAAAAGTGAGAGCTTTAAACTGTAAACTTTCAAGGTGATCTTTCTAATGTATATCCCTAATCCAAATGTGTTGAGCACATTTAGTATAATGGTATAATTGTATTGAAATAAAGAAAAAACAGAAAAAAAAACAACAAAAATTCAGCTCTTCACAAGTTACTTTATTTACTATTCAAACACAAATCAAATAATCAAAAGCATTTAATTATATTTGGTATCTTTAGATCAATTTTCATGAATAAATCAAAAACCTAAACTACATATGTAGCTTGGTCATTTAACTTTTTTTTCCTTTCTTTACTAATTTGCTGCTGAAAATTTAATGGAAATTGCCTGCAGGACCGTAGCCTGAGCAAAATGCCAGGGGGGGCAGTAAGCAGACATGAGGGGGCGAAGCTACCGAGGGGGGGAGGGTGTGGTGTGTAAAATTCCAAATTCCAGGAGGGGCAACTGCCCCCCTGCCCCCCTGGAGGCTACGGCCCTGGCCTGTGTACATATATTTCATTTTTATTTGGCTATAACATGTACTCATTTAATGAAATATATGTATCTTTGAATTAGTAATAGTAGCTACATTCTAGGAATAACACATTTAAATTCAACATTGGTTATTCCTAAGGTCATTATATCACAAATTAGCACAGTCAGGCCATTCGGTTCTCCTCTTAGTCACAGGTCATTTTTTCTAATTTTTTGTCATTGTTTAGTAAAGACAACACAGGTACCGGTATGTCTCCTTGCTGTCATTGTAAAGTGCCAATATTACATATATGACCCATATTTTATGTTCTTCACTATTTAGTACAGACAACACAGGCCAGTTCTCTTCCATCCACGTAAGGTGGACAGGGGAGAGAACCACACTTAGCTTCAGCAGTGTAGAAGAAGGCACCATATTTTTCTTCATGGCCACCAGCTACCAATTCAGGAGCTTCATCAAGGCAGACAAACTCTGTTCTCTGGAAAATATCATGAGTTGATACCAGGTATCCATTGTACTCTGTTGTCCACCCAGCTGGACATGTCTTCTTGGCTGGTATCATCACATGACTGGGGCGTGTTTGGGTGTAGCATACAGCACAGGGGGCATCATGGTAACGAAAATTCTGACCTCCTGTATTGGATGTTGAAAATATGTTAGGCGTAACATATTGATATTCCACACCATGTATGTAAGAACCTAAATTTTGCCCTCCATCTTGGTATTTCCCCCACTCTGGTGTCTGTGGCAAACATAGGTAATTACTGCCTCCTCCAGTTTTGTCATGGTGGGTTCCAGCAGATATCCCTGATATAAAATTATAAAGGCCATTTTTAAAGATTTTACTCTTTAATCATAGATGTCAAATTCAAAATTATATATATATATATATATATATATATATATACACGAGGGTTGATTGATAAGTAGTGAGCCTCGTGTGGAAGGGGTTAAGTGTGAGATATAATATGGGCGGCGGTTTATACAAAAATTCAAAACACGATTAGTCGTCATCGTTATCAGATCAGTTGAAATGAAAACACGATTAGTCATCAAAACGCAACTAGACATCAAAACGCAACTAGTCATCATCAAAACGCAACTAGTCATCAAAACGCAACTAGGCATCAAAACGCGATTTGACGCCAGATGGCGCCCATTGTACGAAAATCTAGGCCAAGTCACATGATCCACAGTGATCAAAATGGCGGACGTTATTGAAGCAGTATTATCATATTCCTCGCTCGAACTCGAGAATTATCTCGAGTTCTAGATATTATTATATATATAATATCATTATTAGATTGTACACATAGAGATAATTCTCGAGGAATATGATAATGCTGCTTCAATAACGTCCGCCATTTTGATTACTGTGGATCATGTGACTTGGCCTAAATTTTCGTACAATGGGCGCCATCTGGCGTCAAATCGCATTTTGATGCCTAGTTGCGTTTTGATGCCTAGTTGCGTTTTGACGACTAATCGTGTTTTCATTTCGACTGATCTGATAACGATGACGACTAATCGTGTTTTGAATTTTTGTATAAACCGCCGCCCATAATAATACACTGTCACCCGAGCGATATATGCCATAACACCTCGAGCGTCAGCGAGAGGTGTTCATGGCATATATCCCGAGAGGGTGACAGTGTATTATTTGACATACATACCGAGAAAAAATACAGTAATTTCATCCTAAAACACCCCTAAAACCGAATAAAGTGACCCTATATCACGCTCTAGAGATGTTATACAGAATAAACTCGTCCACGTGCGCTGGTCACCTCCCGCCAAATTCTTACGTAATGTCTGTCCAATTTGGTCAATTTTTGCTAAATGCTTTTTTTTTTTTTTTTTTTTTTTTAATTGAAAAATTTCAGTATAAGAAAGTACAAATACCCAAGTATGGTAAATGCACACTGTACACTCACTCTCTCTCTTACACACACACTCTCTCTCTCACACACATGAATATAAGTTTATAATCTCATGAACAATAGGTGTAATAATAATAATAATAATAATAATAATAAAGAACNAAGACCTCTAACTAATAATGTAGCTTACGGTTTCCCTGCTGCACTTGTCGCTTGGTAATAAAATGGTTTCCATGGTGAAGGCTTGTTTCATTTCGCTCAGGAAAAGTGATAGTTAGTGCATCAAGCTTCAACTTGATTTTCTGAATATCTGACTAATTGAAAAGATTTGATATGTCAGTATCAAAGATTGTAGGTTTATTATTGATAATATTGACAGAAACAAGACACCAAACAAATAAGAAATTCACAATCATGCAGTTAGGCACATTTTAAAGTACAAATTACCTTAAGTTGTTTGTTTTCCTGTTTTACTGCAGCAACCTCCACCTCCAACCTTTTCAGGAATGCTATCTCTTGTTCTTGCTTGTCCAGTCTTTCAACCAGTTTCATCAACACATCATTATTTTGACATCAGCATGATGTTGTAAAGTTGATGCAGAGACAGTAGTAACAAAAATGGCAGTGAATACATGAAAATACATGATGTACACCTGTCTGTAGCAGCCAAGACACTGACCTGGGTGGGGTCATGAAAACTCTTATATTGCTTGATTTGTTGAGTGAACATGTCAAATATTTACAAAGTGGGTTTTAGAAAGTTGGTTTTCTACAAATATTTGATAACTGATAGTTTAAGGGCAGCAGCTTATAATTTTCTATAAATCATGTGTAACTCTTGATAACCAGTGACATATTCAATCACAAATCTTTTACTCCTCAGTTTTCTCTCACAATATTAAAGTAAGTTACGACCGGGCAACACCTGAGGTTCTGTTTAAAATATAAATTACTACATTCATCCAGGCACATGCAAGCACTTCACTATGCTCCTTTAATCTCAAATATAATGTTAATTTATTGTATGTACAATTATATACCATTTAATTAAGCGTGTTCGTACATATTTATAGATTTTTTAAAACATTTTCCCACATAACAACTCTTTTCAAATGTATGTCATGCAATTGAACTAGAAAAGCTACAGTAACAGTTGTGGTTTGTTTGTTTGTTTGTTTGCTTGTTTGCTTTGGTTCCAATACATTTTGCACTATTAATTTCTTATTTGATTCCTATAATAATTAACTGAATATTTTCTCAAAATTCTTTCTTTCATATTATGTTTCTAGATGGAACAGGTAACATGATATAATTATGTTTCAAGAAGCTTTGATATTCATTAGCATTTGGTTACTTGGATACAGTTTGTTCTAGTTCAAACATTCAAAGATCATTCTGAAGAAATATTAAGAAATTATTGTGCAAAGCCACATACATGTCCATTAAAAACCATAAGTGGTTTTAGAAATACTGTGTTTTAAATGAATCTGAATTAGTAAACTACACAAGTGTTTGAAAACTACAAGTGTTTGAAACACTATCAGTTTGAAAATGTATTTTCCATTGATACTTCCAGCACCTATTTTGCTAGCCTTCATTTTCCCTGAAAACTTGAAGTACACAAGTGTTAAAATTTTAAAAACTGAGTCTATCAAAATTCATTTTCCAACACACTTCCAGCACCTTTGTCAGCTTTACCTTCCAGAATGTGTTAGTTGATCACTGTCTCAACCATTGTGACAAGATGTCTGAGACATTGTGCTGACTATTCACTTTGATTGATTACTTTCTTGATATATGCAGAATTATAAAGTGCAAGTTCTGAAACTGTTTTTACTTCTTTTCATATGACAGATAATTCTAGATAGTACTAAACCTGGTCTTTGTGTTACCATACTTTATGATAATATGTAGACTATGTATTTACCCATGGTACATGTATATGTAGATTGAACTATATGCTAAGCTTCATGTATTCGCAACCACAATATGGCCTTGAGAAGTCAATAAACCATCTTTCTCCTTTACAGGGACGGATCCAGAGCTATTTTCTGACCGTGTTCCAAATTATCTTTGTTGATCCATCCTCTAATTTTGACCGTCTTCCGACAGAAAAAAATTAGGTACCCATCAATGTAAACTTGAAAATTTGACCGTCTTCCAGAAGACCCAGAAGACGGCCTCAATCCACCCCTGCTTTACTCTTTGGAAGAAATATGTCCAAACATAAACTACATAAAGAATATTAAACATTACACATTTAAAGAAAAAAAAAAATATTTTGTGTCCTTACAGATGGAAATATAAGTTATTTGTCACCCCTAGTTGCCTGGTGATGCTGACAGGAGCAGCACTGGCAGGCACATGTGGCTTTATAGCTGGAATAGTGGGTTTACTACAGTGGAGAGAGAAGGTTATGGGTCAGAATTTGCATTTATTTTATTTTTATATTTTCATTATTGTTTTTTCATCTTTATTCATTTTTATTATTTATCTTTAATTTATTTGTTTATTTATTGTAATCAATATGACTGCTCATTTTTTGTTCCTTTTATGCATCAAGGATTATTGGTTTACCAAATTACTTTGCAGAGTTAATATGTTACTAAATAACAATAGCAACAAAATAAGGCCGGTGATTTTCTGGTCCGTTTAGACTGGTTAATTTATGCAAAAGTCAAGTGAGGTTATTTTAAATTCAAGTATTGAGTTATGTTTTTAGCTGTCATGGAAGGATAAAATGTATTCACTTTTTTCTTTGGTTAGAAAGTACTAGTAGATACATGTCAAAAGACACTAAACACATTTTATTTCTAGCTCACAAGACATTTAGTCTCAATAGGAATTACATATTTTACACCATCTTTACAGATCTAGTTCACCACAATATTTTCATTGTAAAAATTATCATTTCTTTTCAGATAGAAGATCAGAAAGAAAAAAGACAAGAATCTCACAAATTTCATTTTGATGCCATGTAGCATGCAGAACACCCTTGCCTATGGCTCCTGGTGCTGAGGAACACTGGATATCCAGTTTCACTTTCATTTTAATGCCATGAATTACCCCAAATGGTAGTTTCACTAAAGATGCATACTAATTGATATTAAAGAAGGTTTCAGTTTAATGTTTTCACAGTATACCATAGAGTGTAGTGTTCTAAAAAAAGAGTTGTGGCCAAAATAAGACTAAAACATTAATGTTATCTCTTAAATTATTTATATATTTTTATTGTGGTTTTATTTCTCAGTAAGAAAGAACTTAAAATGACAAAGTACAAATTGGATATAAATACAGCACTAGGATGTCAAATACACTATGGTCTTGCACCGCATCAAAGAAAAACGACAACGAAAAGCTCATTTTCTAGTTAGCAAGTTATGGGAAATGTATGTACAGCATTACAAGGTATCTGTGTGTGTGTCTTTTGGCTTATATAAATAATGGCAGAAGGGAAAAAGTTCCACTAAACTTTAGAAAACACTGTTGGGATGATACAGTCCTGCTATATTATTTCATGTTTTTATTTATTTATTTATTTATTTTGACAATCTTTTTTCTGATTATATTATTTATTATTGTTATATTGTGCTATAACTTTCATTAAAAAAATTATTGTTGTTTAGATTTTCATGCAAATAATATTTAAGGGTTTTAATGCTAACAAAAATAAGACATTGCTGAAGGGGTACTATGCGATGCAAGTTCATTTCACTGGTTCATTTTGTCCTCAACTTCTAGATTATTTTCAAGAATGCCTGGTAATGAAATTACTGTCTAAGATAATGACGGAATTTTTGTCGTGTTTGATGTAAAAAAATTGACTGTACCCTGATGCCATATTGTCTAGATAATTATGAATCAAGCTAAATAGAAGATTTTATTAATTATTAAAACAATGCAAAAACATCAAACAACTCGAAATAATGACCTAAAGAGACATCATGAAGAATTTTTTTTTTTTTCAAATTTAAAAAGCCAGGCGACACTGCAAAAGTAACTGCAAACTGTTAACTGTCGCATGTAAAATAAAAATTGTAGACATTTTTTGAGACGTTAGACATCACATTAGCTCCCTGATAAGTTGCAAATGTTGTACTTTTATTTTACTATAAAAACAAGAACAACTGTAGAATGTGAGATAGTGCTGCGAGCAGTTTTCATGAGAAACATTAACTTCACCATGGTTTATGCCATTACAGTGATATGTGTACTGGGTACACTAAATCATGTAATTCCTATTCTGGGTCCTTGACTCAAAGTTTAAATATTATATGTTGTTTATACAAAAAGATATTCATTGGGTTGTTTGACACAATTTGTTATGAAGTGAGGGTTTTAAACTGTGACGGTGATTTTTATGTCTCTTCCTGATAAAGATGTATTATGCACATTTAGTATCATGGTTAAAAATGACAGACAAATCAACAGATCAAAAGCATGTGAATATATTTGCTATCTTTAATCCAATGTTTATGCATAAATCAAAAGCCTAGGCTACAGGTAGGTTATTTAAAAAATTTTGCTCATTAATAATTTATTTATTTGCTGCTGAATGGAAATTGCCTGTGACACAAACCTATAGCTTTCATTGAAGTAGAATAAATAAAAATGGAATTTATATTTTTAAGTAGTAATTGTAGCTATATTCTAGCTATATTCTAGGAAATAACAGATTTAAATTCAACATAGGCTATTCCTAAGGATATTATATTAAAATTAGCACAGTCAGGCCATTCTTCTCCTATACCTGTGACGTACTATAGTCACAGCTAGGTCATTTATTCAGTTCTCTCTCTTTTTGGTCACTGTAAAGTGCTGATATTATGAACCATATTCAATCTTCTTCACTATTAAGAGGGTAGGGAATACTTTTTTTTCATTCTGCTTGATTAGCCTTATTTTCCAAGTGTGAATTTGCATTATTTGAGCCCAATGTTCTGCACGAAATGTGATTCAGGAATTCTTGGTGATTGGTGATTAACCTGAATATATATCTTGGTGATTGGTGATTGAGCTGTTTTGATCTTGCTGTTTGGTGATTACATGTAAGTGTGTGGGGGGGGGGGGGGGTCCCCTACCCTCTATTTAGTACAGACAACACAGGGCAGTTCTCTTCCATCCACATATGTTGGACAGGGAAGAGAACCACACTTCGCCTCAGCAGTGTAAAACAAGGCACCGTTTTTGTTCTCATGGCCACCAGCTACCACTTCTGGAGCTTCATCAAGGCAGACAAATTCTGTTCTCTGGTAATTATCATGAGTTGATACCAGGTATCCATTGTACTCTGTTGTCCACCCAGCTGGACATGTCTTCTTGGCTGGTATCATCACATGACTGGGGCATGTTTGGGTGTAGCATACAGCACAGGGGGCATCATGCTGAACAAATTCCTGACCTCCTGTATGGGTTGTTGAAAATATGTTAGGGTTGATAATCTGGTATTCCACACCATGTATGTAAGAACCAGTACCTTGCCCTCCATCTTGGTATTTCCCCCACTCTGGTGTCTGTGGCAAACACAGGTAATTACTGCCTCCTCCAGTTTTGAGATAATCAGTTCCAGAAGCTATTCCTAAAGATATACAATTCAGATGTTTTAATTGTAACCTTAGTTGCCTATATTTCCATGCAGAGGAAGATCAAGTATAAAATCTTATAAAATGTAGTACATGTACAATATACTGAATTATCCCTTGAAAAACTATTTGTTACAACATGCATTTTACCTTTGTACAACAGTTTGGAATGTGTTGAACACGTTGTTCTGCCCCAACGAATATAAACTGCCCCACCATGGCTGGTATTGGCTGGTAGCCCTGAAAACATGTATTAAACCTTGTGAACTCTACCCTACTACTGGTACATGTATGACTGGTAGATGAAAATCTACACTTTCAAAACAGATATCAAATTTGATGTTGCACAGCAATCTTTATCCCATTCATAAGTACGGCGTATAGCTGTCTCTTAACCAAAAAAGTAAAACCTTCAATAAAATGGGGAAAATCCATTAATGAAGTTAGTGCAGAGAAATATTGAACATTTTTCCCCAGTATAATAAGAAAAATTAACAAATTTTTTAAATATGTGTTTTATCCGCAGTTAAAGCACCAGACAAACCTGTAGGTGGCACCCCTTTCTGAGCTCCAATTTGTCCCAGCATTTGTTTGAGGATATCCAATGTTAGAGATCCTGGGTCCCCTTTAGGTCCTGGGGGCCCCTTAGAAAATTGAATAAAAATATTGAAACTGCTATCACCCAAAGGAATATATACAGCATGTATTAGCAGAATTCTAAACTGATGATATAAATTGTTAACTATGAGTTGAGTATTTGGAATTGCATGTCAAGATATTTTGCATTTTATCTCATGGAACACTTAAAATACTAATTATTAAATGGGCATTTTGATGATATTTCAAGAAGTGGATACCTTGGTATATAGATTACATTATACTCTAATTTTCAATCGAAACTAATATAAATATTCAGTCATAATTTTCAATTACAAAACCATTGAATATATAGCCAAATGCCAAGTTTTACCTGTATTCCAATCTACCATCTCTCCCAGGTAATCCCTGTGGTCCCTGAACACTGCTCCTTGAAGAGTTGACTACTGAAATATTTTGTGATAATAATTTCTTTGGATGATAACTTTGTCTACTGGAAATTAATGTTTTTCATAATTGCATGTCACTTTGGACAGTCACCTTACCATTCACAAGGTGTCAGTCAGTCATTACAACTTGGGGCCAAACAGCTGAGAGGTGACCTCACCCAAAATCAACTAGAGGATCAGAGAGGCGATACCGCCTCCGAATATTGTACCACCAGCTGGAGTAAGCGCATTCGTATAGACCCCACATACACAAAATAACAGTCTTGTGCTTGACAAGCTGTAAAAATGCAATCAACAAGAATTTTCAAAATATGCAAAAAAGATATATAACTAAAAATGGTACAATCAAAGTTTAGTTCATCGTAAGGTAGGTCAAAGGTCAATTTCAAGGTCACAGTAAATTGCCAGTATGTGACTTCCTATTCAACTTCAATAGTAACTATGGACCTATCTCTGCCAGGTTTGGAGGTAAAAGAGAAAGAAATAAGCAGAGTTCAGTTCATGATAATAAGTAGGTCAAAGGTCAATTTCAAGGTCACAGTAAGATTGCCAGTATATGACTTCCCATTCAAGTTCAATAGTAACTATGGACCTATCTCTGCCAGTTTTGGAGATAAAAGGGAAGCAAAATTTGCAAAGTTCAGTTCATAGTGAAAAGTAGGTCAAAGGTCAATTTTAAGGTCACATTTGGATTGCCAGTATATGACTTCCTATTCAACTTCAATAGAAACTATGGACCTATCTCTGCCAGTTTTGGAGATAAAAGGGAAGCAAAATTTTCAAAGTTCAGTTCATGGTGAAAAGTAGGTCAAATGTCAATTTCAAGGTCACAGTAAGATTGCCTGTATATGACTTCCTATTCAACTTCAATAGTAACTATGGGCGTATCTCTGCCAGTTTTGGAGATATAAGGGACTTAATGTTATAATTTTGGAGTTACCATAATGTGCCATAAATTTCCTACAGAAAAAATTAATTAAAATAAAGAAAAAGTCATTTTGGTTGAAATTCTTGAAATGGGAGGTGTTCAGAAGTACCAGATGTTCAAATTTCATGAAATAATGTCATTTTAGACCAGAAGTTGTCTGCCTTGCCAAGCCTTATGTTTTATTTTCCCGGGGTTCAAAATTTATTATACATTACCATACTGCACATTTTGCTTTCACCACCACAATGTACTTTTTGATACAGCATAACTCGAAAACCGTATGGAATACAAAAAAACGGAGACCACCTCGATCCAGTGTTGGGCTTTACATGCTCTACAAAATGCAAAAAAGAATGGGTCTCTAGCGTTAACGGTTCCCGAATTAGAGACAGTTTTCAGTTTTGATATCTTATGGCTGCTACTCCTGTGAAAATGCACCGATTGACCCCAAATTCACGGAGATGAAAGATGACCCGAAGGGTAACACTTTCCAATAATATTATTGGTTAGGTCTGTGTAGTTTCTGAATATCAGCGCAAATAATTATTTTTTCGTAAAAAAATTCATTTTTTTGAAAATTTTGGCCCGTTTGACCTTGGAAAAAAGGTCAAAGGTCAAATGCAAGGGCATATTTGAAATCTCCACATATGACTTTCGGTCAGCCGCCTGTAGAAATTTTTCCCATAATTCCTTCTGTAGGGTAGATAATTAGCATTTAATTTTGCCATTTTTGGACAAGGGTGCATTGCAATGAGTGCCACACCTAGACCCTAGCACTGATGAAGCCCAAATTTTACGTGGAACGAGTTGAGATTATAGGTGACCTAAATCCAAGAGATGGGTACGCAGGCCCTTGTAGTCTAGGAGGAGAAGCGGTAACGGTGACATGGCGGCGGAGCCGGCGGAACATACGGGTCGGGACTAAAACCATGTGTACCGCCAGCGCCTATGCTGGTGGTACAATAATTGCATAATACTAAGTAGAACAGGTGAATTGAAATATGAAATAGCATTTCAATTTGCTTCAGATACCTGTATTTTACTGTAACAGTTACTACATGTACTAAGTGATTTTCTGTTATTAATTAGTGATTGTTCTGCACGGTGTTTGTCATATTTAAAATGAAAATTTTCTCGTTAAGAAAGAAAAGGCATCATTTGATAAGACCTTAAGTATTGGGTAACAAATGTTTTCTGCTTTAAGCTATAATAAAGAGAGCAGACCTACCATTAACTTGTAGTGGTGACTGATATCCAAGCAGTCCAATGATTTGTTTGAGACTGTCTACTGTTAAACCTGGGTTCTGTGGATTAATTTAAGATATTTGTGATATAAAGTGGGGAAGATTTCACATTTTATAAAGTGATAAATCATTTTACACAAGTTGAATGATAAAATTCAATAACATATACATCAAAAATTATTTTTATATGACAAGATGTCTGAGACATTGTGCTTACTATTCACTTCGATTTATTACTGTCTTGATAAATGCAGTCTGCTTTGAAGAATTATAGTTTAAGTTCTTCTGAAACTATTTTTATTTCTTTTCATGTGACATATAATTCTAGATAGTAATAAACCGGGTATTTGTGTTTCCTGATTTATGCAGTCTGCTTCGAAGAATTATAGTGCAAGTTCTTCTGAAACTATTTTTATTTCTTTTCATGTGACATATAATTCTAGATACCGGGTCTTTGTGTTACCATACTTTATGATAATATGTAAACTATGTACTTACCGCTGGTACATCTATATGTAGATTGAACTATATGCTACATGTATTCGCAACCACAATTTTGTCGTGAGAAGTCATTAAACCATCTTTCTCTTTTCCTCTTTAGAAGAAATATGTCCAAACGTAAACTATGTACAGAATATTAATCTTTACACATTTAAAGAAAAATATTTTTTGTGTCCTTGCAGATGGAAATACAAGTTATTTGTCACCCCTAGTTATTTGTCACCCTAGTACAAATTGGATCAATATAGTAATATAATATATTCACTTCAACTTGTAAGACCTAGATTTATAAGCTAAATCAACCTGTTTATAGAGAGTAATAATATTATTTATTTAAGAAATTTAACTGAATGTTTTTTTTTTTCAGCTTGATATTATTCTTAAATGTAAGTCTGCATTACTTTAAGGAGATGTTAAATACCTATTAAAATGTCTGAGAGCTTCTTAGCTAAGGTTATTATATTATAATATTTCAGTGGAAAACATGACTGCATGGACTTTTTGATATTTTATTAGTATATTCAATTGGAGGTTGGTAAAAAAAATTGTTACATATTTTCTTGTTTGAATACATATATATATATATATATATATATATATATATATATATATATATATATATATATATATTTTTTTTTTTGTTTGTTTTGTTTTGTTTTGTCTTCAAGTAAAGCCAATCAGTGCTCTTTGAGTTAAATGTTGAGGTTACAATGTACATGTATCTCTAACATTGGTGACTTCAGAGAAGTCGACCTCAAGGGAACTTTTCTACAGAAATCGACAAATAATTCTAAGCCATTTTAAACAAAAGCCTAGCTGTCACTTTTTTTCTTTTTTAACTATTTTATTTTCTACTTTATATTGATTGAGCAATAAATGAGAGAAAAAAATTATGCTGGTTGTGATACATGCATTCATTCTCAGAAGTAAAGGATAAAATTAGTTATAGTTGTTCATACTGAGTGTCTAAACATAAAAAGGGCTAAACACAAGCTTAGTTATAGAAAAGAAACAAGGAATTTATGAAATGCACTGCAAATATTGCATATTTAAACCTGGTTGGATTCTAATTAAAGTACCAAAAACATCAACAGAACAAGTCGGATGAACCATCCATGGAAACAAGAGGAGGCAGGTTAATTTTTTAATCTGATTGCATTCAGCGAGAGTCCTTGCGCAGTGGGATCGATCTACACAGACCGATAATTTCATTAGGAACGAGTCCCTAAACGTGTGAAACAGTAGCCTTGGTGGCATGCCTATTCAATTCGTGCGTGTCCTTGTAGCACAAGTGGTTAAATAAAAATAAAATGCGGTAGACAGTTTTCTCCCTGTCATAAATGTAGATATTTTATTTTTGTATAAAATTGACTGAAGATTTGTCCCCCAACCGGCACGAATTCATCAACCGTTTTAATACTTAATAGTACGGTACATGTAGTGGTATATTGCACCTGTAGGTAAGTTAGCGTATTTCATTTTTTATGTGCGATCTAATGAATTTTTGGTGTAATGCACCTAAGACTTTAGAATTTATCGGAGTGAAGAGGAATTTGCAATTATGGTTATAAATTGGGTACAACAGAACTTGGCCCTAAAAAAAACAAAAACAAAAAAAACATCGGACTTAATTGAATACAACTTTAGCCGGTTTTGGAATAAAAACACTTCAGAATAGCGAGATTAACCTAATCAGTTTTCCAAATATCGTCACTAGCCGATATGCAGAATCTAAAAACGTAAAATGCTGTGTCCGGGACTCTGGGAAAACCAGGGTGGGTCACCTTATCAGGGCCAACTCCCGTGTCAGGGAATTCCCAGCCTCGTTATGGATTCTTACCTTTTGACGTCATGTCAATATATTCAAAACGAGGCTATAGTAAACATGGCTGTGTGACTGATAAACTGAGAGCAGGAAGTTTTTTGTTATGTTTTGCCAAAAAGAATAACCAGTGCTTAGATCAGAGACACAGTAGGACCAAACTATATATGGAACCATATATATTGTTAACAAGTATTCTATCTGTGACTTATTACATAGAGAAAATCGACTGAAATGCCGGGGCGGCCACTGGGGTTAGAACTGGGGACGATTTCTTCCTCACCTGGCACAATAATTTCGGTTGTAATCATATTTGGTGAGTATTGAATCTTAAACCTGCATGACAAATGTTATTATTGAAATATCAACAATTGGCCGAATCATAAAGGCTTATCTCAGTGTCCCAACTGTCTTGTGATGTTGTTCTTTGGGTCTTGGTACAAAAGAATCTTTGCATTTTGTATTATCATTAATCAGTATCGGTGTCAGTTGGTCTGGTCTTGAGTCTTGACACACTGGGGCAAATATTGGATAAATGCTTCTGGGGATCTATATTAGGTTTACACGTCTGTGTTAAAAAATCTTCGGATTATTAATTATCTTATGTTCAAGCTGAAGTCTATGTATTTGGTTTTTTCTTTAGAATTATCACACTTTCATCATTAGTGTACTGAGTAATTATTCTCAGAAAATAATCTCGGGTTCACATTAAATTCTGACTATGTAATTTTTTCTGGGGAATCATCTTAAATTCACACTAGTAACAACTGTGTAATTATTCTTTGGGAATTATACCAAGGTTTTTCTTAATTTTGATGAGAATTATTTTAGATTTACACTAACCCCCAGGTAAGTATTGCTGGAGAATAATCTTAGATTAATTCACAGTAAATATTCAAACTATCTTAAAACTTTCTTGGCCAGCAAATCAGACCCTTCTTTTTTTACATGCTGTAATCAGTCAGAGATACAGAAGTGGTCAAGTAAATAACATCATTTAAATCCAGATCCAGACTGGTTTAAAATGTCCTTATGTTGCACCCCATGAAAAATTTAACTTGGGATTTAACATCATCGATATAAAGGTGTGCCACTGGGATGCATATTGGCCTTTGCAGGCTATGCCTCTAGTTTAAATCTAAAATCGGTATGAGATACTACGGATTTAGGGCATTCCAATACAAAATACAGTATATCTCTGTCAGATTCACAAATCTTACATGTCTCTGAGGATCCAGAATTTGTTTGTCCATCCTTAAAATATATCTGCTGGGTACTACCAGCAGTGTGCAACATTTGAATATAATAATTTTCAAATTTTTAAGAAAATGTCTTATAACCATTTTTTTCTACCATGAACCTTTATAGGCAGTGAAACACAATTTTTTTTCTTGTGTGACCTTTATCGAATCTGACTAAGTTGCCATTGTTAAAATTCACTGTTCCCATGGTTTGGACACACAAATTAAGGTTAAGTTTGTTCTCAGCATGTCAGATACATGTCTTTTACTCTGTTGTCTCAGTATCGTATCATTTCATAGGGTAGGGAATACCTCCCCCTCTTTAATCACCAATAACCAAGATTAAAACAGCTCAATCACCAATCACCAAAATATATTCAGGCCAATCACCAAGAATTCCTGAATCACATTTTATGCAGAATATTGGGCTCAAATAACGCATACGCTCTAAAAATAAGGTCAGTTACAAGGAATGCCATAAGTATTCCCTACCCTCATTTTAGTACTAGTGAGTAAAGCATTTCATTGGACAATACCTGTCTCCCTAAGTCTCTCAGTGCTGCTAAGTTTGGAGTTTTCTCTAGGACTCACAAGATACCTTTACCTTTTTTTATTAATTTGAACTGAGGTATTTTTTTTGTTATTTTTAAAATAGGGTCCGACTGATTGAGCTGTACCCTTTATCTGACTGCTAGTTTTAGCACGAATGAAAAATCCTTCAGCTATAACTTTTTGGAAGGGAAGATTTTTGCATAAGTATGAAGGCCTGAGGTGGTCATGAATGTGAAGACAGAATGATTCATCACATTTGTGATATTATATATAAATATATATATATATGTAAATCCTGTTTATATTTAAACCTATTAGTAGGTCATATGCACGAAATTTGGGTGGAGATATATTCAGCAGATGTATTTTTTCTAATTCTTTATATATATATATATATATATATATATATATATATATATATATATATATATATATATATATATATATATATATATATATATATATATATATATATGTTGCAGGCCAGATTGAAATCCAGGCTGGTGTAAAATCGACCATAGTCAAATTTTATTTTCAAATGCTATGTTTGTTTTCGCAAATTCTTCCTGAAATGTAACAACTAGATTATATAGGATACACGCCATCTTTTGTACTCATGGCCACTATAATGAAGTGGGCACCTGAAAGACAACATCATAAGAAGTGAATGGAAAAAAGGAGGACTCTCGCCTGGGTATGAGGTTAAAAACATATATATGTCATAAACAATTAAATAGTCAGGATTACATTTGTCACCCAATTTAAATCTTCCTAAGTCAAATTGGAATTTTGATCCTGAATAAGCCCAATTAAAATCTGAAAATAAAATTTGACTATGGTACTATGGTCGATTTTACACCAGCCTGGATTTCAATCTGGCCTGCAACATATATATATATTTTACTCTTCATTTTACCATTGTATTAGGTTTAATATTATGTGATGTGTATTTTCAAATTAAGTTCTTATAACAGGAGAGAGTTCACAACTAATTTGCTTCTTTTAATTGAGATATTCAATAAATGCCGTACTCATGTTGAAACAAAATAAAATAAGTACTGGGTCAGGTAACATGGAAGAATTTCAAATAATTTTTTGAAAAATTTATTGAAGTAAATAGATTAAATAAATAAAACCGTTTCATAGACTATCATAGTGTAAAAATACAGATAGAGCAAAAGTACCGGTTCTGTAAAGAAACTCCTCGTATGCGCACATACCCATGCACATGCATTAATATTTGCTGGTTTGCTCCCCTGTACGTCAGCTGTGCAGGAAAGATTTTCATAATAATAATAATAATAATAATAATAATAATAATAATAATAATAATAATAATAATTATGATAATAATAATGAAAGTCAAGAATTTCAAATGATGACATATTCATTGGTTTGAAGAATTTTATATTAAAATTCAAATGAAGAGTAAAAAAAAATAACACTAGAAAAGTTAGATTTTAATGGGTTTTCTTCATGATAACTGACACAGTATGTACTAGTAAATTCTGAGGATCTGTGCATTTGTAAATCAGATTTGATTATGGTCTTTTCTCTCCTTGATTTGAACAGCATTTTGATAAGCTAAATAAGAAATGTGTCATCAAGATTCATTTTATAGATTTACCTGTAGCATAACAAGGCTAGATGACGGCAGTAGCGCCATAGATATTTTTCTTTTGTAAAAACCTGTATTAGGTTTAATATTATGTGATGTGTATTATTCTGTTGAGGCTAGGAAATGAGCATGTCATGCTTCATGTCACAATGAAAATAGAACATAACATTGAATTTTTTTCTATGAAGCACCACATAAGTGGTTACTATAAGTAATGTTGTCACTCCTGTTCTGAATAACAGATCGTCCTCCTAATTCAGTTTTATTTTGGACAGATGAGTAGTGCACACTACTGAATTTCAATACTCGTCAGCAATCCAGTAAAAACTTCACATATCTACTAGAACTAGTATGTAAGCAGTATTTATATGGATCTAGACATTTTCTTGATTTTTTTTTTTTTGGTCAGTAGCCAGCAGAAATCCTCGTGACGTGAACACAGCATTGTTATCTTGTTCAAAGGCCTGTAGCCAGCAGTTATAGAGATGGGGCATTATATTTCTAAAAAAAGTGATCCTTTTTAACCTCTTAGTTGACCTTGATTGAGAAATGGCATAGAACCTCAATCTAATTTTAATTCAGGTGACACCTTTTCTGACCAAAAGGATGGTTCTTTTGAACATCCACATTCCTTCCACTTGAACCCCCCCCCACCGGAACCCCCAACCCTCACCCCCAGTACCTACAGGTGCCTAAAGTCAAATAGTAGAAAAAAATCATCTTATCTCAACTGATTGCTTAATAATCTTCATAAAGATCTCTGTTTATTATTTTACAGCCTTGCTGTGCCCTACACAAGTGCCATATGCTGCCTCAGCGGGGATACCAGGTAAACAGATAATATTCAAGTGCCGAGTGACTCTGTGATGTCGAATAATGAGCCATTCTGCAGTTTTTCTCCCTCCATAATATCTTCTCAGTTATGCACAGTGGGTTTATTCAAGGTGTAATTCTCTTTTTCATGGGATTTAAATGGGTACTAGTACAAGGGTTTTAGAGGGGGTGGGAGAAACTGTGGAATGGCCCCTGTTTGTTCTGATGAGATTTGCTTGCGGGAAAAAAAAGTGGGAACAAAAAATAAGTGAAATTCTGTGTGTTGTGCATAGAATCACCTTAGTTAAACAATTCATTGCAAGAACTCAAACAACTAAAAACTTGCAAAAAAAAAANTGGGTACTAGTACAAGGGTTTTAGAGGGGGTGGGAGAAACTGTGGAATGGCCCCTGTTTGTTCTGATGAGATTTGCTTGCGGGAAAAAAAAGTGGGAACAAAAAATAAGTGAAAATCTGTGTGTCGTGCATAGAATCACCTTAGTTAAACAATTCATTGCAAGAACTCAAACAACTAAAAACTTGCAAAAAAAAAAAATGTTTCTAAAGAGACTTAATGTGTTTTAATGTGTGAGGCATCATGATTCAACCCTTCATCCAGGAGTCTTCATCACATGGCTGACTCTTTAGAAACTTTTTTTAACATCTTTGCACTAGAGACAACATAAATTACATAGGACTCATTCCACATGAAATGATTGTTCTAAGTAGCTTGATCCAACTCCTTGAGGACTCTTGCTGAACACAAGCGCATTAACACACCTCCTTCTGGTGTTGAGCAGAAAAAAGAAAAGCCGATGATTATACGAGTATGTTGGATACAAAAGGAGACTTATCAATTTGTATCTGATTACATTCAGCTAGAGTTCCTGCACAGTTGGATTGATCCCAGTAGAGCAATAGTTTTATTGGGAATGGGCCCCAAGTTCACCATATTTATAACCAAGAGATCTATAAAAATATTGATCTTCTTCAGCTGGTTGCCACACCCAGACGTACAATCACATCACCCAGGGGCTGATCCAGAGTGCCAACTATCCTTTTAACTACTCCAGTTGTGAGGCTTGGATGATACAGTCTGATGGCCTGAACATCACCATCAGGTAAGACTGTCCGTCTGTCTGTCTGTCTCACCACCATTCTGCATGCCTGCTAAGCATTTTCTGATACTAGTATATGGCTGGTCATGTTATAATATTTTAAATGTAATTTTAGTGCTCAATGGGAACATGTTGGGCACACATGAATAGGATTGTTAAGTCTCTCTCTCTCTCTCTCTCTCTCTCTCTCTCTCTCTCTCTCGTATTGGCCTTTTATCTGTTTGTTAATTCAGGTCACTTCAAAGGTATATTATAATAAGCTTTACTTTGTTAGTTAATAAATAATAAATATGTGTACGTCTACAGGAAAGGTAACAATTTACAATCATTAAATGGGATTGCACATCAAATGGAGACATACATTCGTCAGTGTATATTTTTTTTACTCAAAAACATGTTACAGCCATATATTTTAATGAATGCCTGGCAGATTCAATTTACTATGATCTTGCTGTCATGCAATCATTTTAATGATTAAAATGCCTGTAAATGACTATGGAACAACAGTGACCTATTTAAGAATAAAGATATATACATTACTGAAATAAGATGAACTCAAACATGTGTTATTAATTATGAAACAAACCCAGTTCAGGTGAACAGGATTCACAACAACAAATGTTTTATCAGCTTAGGTAGAATTATTTTGGTTGAGACGTTTGCAAATTTGATAGAGAAATTACTGAAAAGTCAGGTTTAACTAGCAATTTATTCAAACACTCTCATTGTCATCATCCTGTTCATGTTAGAAAAAAATCATGTCATGCCACTTTTGTTATCAAATTACTTTTGTGTGTTGAAATGGATGTGTGTAATATAGTGTTATTTTACTCCACAGTAGATGTGTAGTTTTTTATAGGATATACTACAGATTAGTACTTCATAGGCAAATATGCTATAAAGGCCACTGTCACGTACTTGGCACTTTGTAGCAGACCCGGATACTTTTCTGGAAAACTTGGCAACGTGTGCTTTTTCCTATAATGCACAGAAAGGCATTATGATGTCAGAAAGTAATTGAATGCCACAAATATTTGACTCTTTTTTCTCTCTTAATTTTTTTTTTTTTTTTTTTTTTGTGTGTGTGTGTGTGTGTGTGTGTGTGTGTGTATGTGTGTGTGTGTGTGTGTGTGTGTGTGTGTTTATGCATGTGCATGTGTTTATGAATAGTAGAACACAATAAGCTCAACAACCAAATCTCCACCCTGACATTGTTTGGCACATGGTGTGGAGAGGGTGTTGATATGATGGGTGCATTCAGTGGTCACAGCTCATTAGAAAATATTACAGCATGGGTGGATAAATTGAATTATTCTCTTTTCAAGTTAGGTTTGATTGAACACAGTGTTTCTGCCTTTACAGTTTTAACTATGATTAAAATAGTCAGGAACAAAAAGAGTGTCAGTTATCAGTTTTTGAAGGTGCAATGGAAATTATTCAGTTAAGAAGACTTTTATGATAACTTTGAATGCTGAAATTGAGACATTTGTTTATTAATACATCCTTTTTATAACCTTTTCATTAAGACAACCATTTAAGTCACTTTTCATTAGCCTATGATTTGTACTATTTACCATTTAAGTCACTTTTCATATAAGTAGTAAGATTGTCAAAATAAAAAAAGTACTGATCCATGGCCAGAATATTGTATTAATTCAAAACTATCAATTATTGACATGTGGTTGTCATTTAAATCAAATAAACAAGACAATAGTTCATTTATCTGTAATTAACAAGTTTCAGTTTGATTGATATTTAGATTCAGTTGAATTTAAATTAACAAACTTTTCAGCTTTGAAGACTTAGACCTGCCAAAGGCCAGCAATGGCAGCTGTATAGACTTTCTCCAAATTGGACCCTTGCCTACGACCAAATTCTGTGGGAAACTAGATGACCCGATTCCCAAGGTGTACATTTCACAGCGCAGTCATGTCTGGATGTACCTTCATTCAAGCCCTGGGCGCTCACAGTCCAGGGGGAGGGGCTTCTCTCTGAGATATCTTACCAGTAGGTGGTGCTGCAGCATGAATTTTGAGAATAATAATAATAATAGTAATAATTGCTATTTCTGTTATTATTTAATTAACTAAGTTTGTTTGTTTGTTTTTGTTTTATAATATATATTTTTTTGAAGTCCCTCTCCCCACAACTACTTCAAATCACACCCTGCTCCAGAGAAAAAATTATTTTGGTTTAAATATATGCGTTTAAGCAAATAACTGTATCCCTTGGTGTTGACATTAATGTGACCATTACCACATACCTTTGTGAGATGGCTTTGTATGAAATGTTTTTAATTGACTGAGTCCCATTCCTGGTACAGGCACCTCAGACCAGACACGTTCTAAAGACATTTCTTTTGATATGACTGGTTTAATTTATTGTTTTTTTCAACTGCATTTTCTGTTTCCTTTTTCAAAGGCATTTATGGCTTGTGTCAAAGGATAATTAATGAATCACTTCAAATGTAAATTTTATGGATCAGAAATAATTTCTTTCAGTATTGTTCAATAATTTATTATACTTAGTATATTTATGTTTTCATAGTTCATTATTTTCCCCTTTTTTATGCAAGCTGTGGAATATATTTGTACAAAAATAAAGTTTTAAATTAACTCTTTGTAAAATTATTTTTAAATTTAATTATAATTAGAAATGGTATAAAACCTCCAATCTTAGTGCAATGGTCATTGACAGCATTGATTTTTGCTTTCAGGAAAACTTGATTTGGCAGGAAAATCACAGATTAGAAACCTTAATTATTATCTGTTTTGTTTTCAGGATCAAATAGATGTGACGGCAGTCAGTTTCGCTGTGGAAACGGAGCCTGTATATTGGAACGGTGGCGATGTAACTCTTGGAATGAGTGTGGAGACGGAAGTGATGAAGTGAACTGTAGCGGAGGTGAATAAAGAACACTTTTTGAAAAGTAAAAGAACACTTTTTGAAAAGTTTTTTGTTTGTTTGTTTGTTTACAAAAGAAAGTTACAATAATCGTATCTTTTTTTTATTTCTTCAGTTTTTACAATATCTTAGTTGTTTCTAGAACAATAATCCAATCTGTGTTCAGGTATGCACATGCATTTTTTTCTACAAATTATAATTTTTGTAGTTCCCTTTTATTTATAAATTGTTCTGTTCTTTCTCATCCCCCACACTCAAGTATTATAACACATACAATGTCTTACAAGGTACTATTATTCAATTCTTTCTCTGTTTCCCCATTTCACAGGCATTATAAAGCCCACACCGCCTCCCCCTTGTGGCAAGGGGACATTCCTGTGCCGGAATACTCAGGAAAAATTCACCTGTTTCAACAACTTACAGATATGTGATGGAACTAGAAACTGTCAAGATGGGAGTGATGAGGAGAATTGCGCAGGTTGTAAGTTTGGAGGGATTTGGACGAAAATTTGGTTTCATATAAATTTTTGTTTTCTTTTTTTTTTTAAACAAAGTCCTTATGGAATGGATCATATGACATGTTTTTGAAAAAAAAAGATCATTTAGCTTCCTATCAACCCAGTGTACCTCTGCTTCCTTTTGGATTTTGATATTCAGGACTTTGAACTGCAATAACTTGTAAAGAAATTTTGAAATAAGAAGCCTAAATTCATTTCCTTGCTGACATGGGCTGTCTTGACTTCAATAATAAAAATCTGAGAAAGGTTGGTCTGAAATGAATATGCTATAGGCAGTCCAAAAGACAGCTAGATGGTTGCTAAACAAATGCCTGGGTAACGTGTAAACAAAAGCATGGTTAAAGTATGTAAAAATTCTATAAGTTTAGCCCAGGTATCAATGTTCCACATCTTCCATTTCAGCGACATGCAAACACATCATGGATCTAGCTCTCCCTGGGACCAGCTCTATGGCAAGCTGTAACGGCACCCTGACCAGCCCAAACTATCCACAGCCTTACCAAGCTGATCAAACCTGTGACTGGCTCATACAGGCACCTGCCGGGAAAAAAATACAGCTACGTTTCCAAGCGTTTGACCTTCATGAGGACATCAATGCAGAGTTTGTGACAGTTTACGATGGTCGTGATGAGAGGAGTGGTGTATTAGGGAAATACACAGGAACTGGGATCTATAAACCTCCGAAAGTGATAGAAACCAGTTCCAATGAGTTGTTTGTGAAGTTTGTGAGCTCTCCTGATTATTCCAAACCAAGGGACGGGTTCCTAGCTAGATATCAGATAAAGGGTAGGTTTTGTTTCAGAATTGTGTTAAATGTTGATGTGCTTTGCTGTAAGCAGGCCATTTGCTCTGAACTCTTTATTTTACTGTTTTTAACATCATCCATGTACTCTGCTGGGAAACCAGTTGGTTTCTGTTTTAAAAAAATTGAATATGATTCTATCTTAAAGTTTACTGGAAAAGGATGTGTTGATTCCTTTTATTTCACTTCAGGGTGTTGCATTGGTCAGCAGGAGAAGTGTTTTCAAGAAGAAGACTGCTATGAACCAGAGGACCGCTGTGATGGCACTTGGCACTGCCAGCTACATGGAGGGGATGAGAGACAGTGTTGTAAGAATCTTTTCCTTATTATTAACTCAGCTCATTAAGAAGATAGACTAAGTGTAATTAATGGCATTGGTTCGTCTTTGTGTCCGTTCATTATGTATTAATTAGCGGAGAGGATATCTCAAAAGGTTGTTCACAAATTCTGAGGAATATTTCAGGATAGACGTATTTTGGATAGAAAGAAGTGACGACATTTTGAACTGAAACCAGTTCTCATGTTTTTTTTCCTCTTAAGTTGCCTTTTTCCTTCGCAGTGTAGTAGTGTCTAGTTTTACAATTTTTATCATATATTTGTTATAGTATCAACTTGAAAAAAAAACATGAAAGATGTGTGTGAGTTCTATGTTAATTGTGCTTTATTTGTGGCGAAATGCCACAACCAAAGTAGACGTGATATTTTTGATGCACCCTTTTATTAATAGTTTTAGGATTGTTTCAACTTGCCTGTCTAGTTATTTCACTAATTATCTGAATTTAAAACAAACAGGTTAAGTCTTAGCTACCTTAAGGAAGGGTGAAGCTTGCAGGAAGGTATTTTTTAAATTAAATAAATTATATCTTACAATTAATCTAAAATCTAAAATTCCAGCAGCAAGCTGTTCAGGAGATCGTCACTTTTCTTGTGGACACAAGACGACATCTTGCTACTTAGAGAAAGAACGCTGCGACGGCACGGTTGACTGTAAGGTAGATTTTGGTGATGAAAGTAATTGCGGTGAGTATAAACAGTGTTATAAAGAGCAGTAAAAACATATTAATAGTGGTAGTTCTGGACCCCACACCACACTGGGGGTCTCATTCCTGTTGATTCAGGTTGACTTAAGATATTGCAGTGTACTGACATACTGAAACTGTTGGTCCTACCAGTCATGACTGGTTAAATTTTCAAGGATTGGTGAAAAAAATTCTGCTCAGATGGTCAAAGGGAATAGCAAAAATTTTAAGAGCTACCATTTTCAGTTGACAGTCTGGCAAAATGTCCTTAAGTCTGGCCAATTTTTTAACTCAGCTGTCCAAATTTTTGTTGGTGTTTATGTACAAATGATTTTTAACATGTCTGAATGTAATTGTTATAACAACTACTTATATCGATAAATAAACCCATGAATCTTAATTTTCAGACCCCTTGAAATGTGGTCCCCACAACGGCACCTTCCTGTGTAGAAACAAGAAATGTATCAAGGAGCGGTGGCAATGTGACGGCACTGATGACTGTCAAGACAACAGTGATGAGGTCAATTGTTCATGTAAGTCCTTTGTCTGCTGCCTCATCAATATCATCAATCTGCTTTTGTGACAGGGTTTCTTAATGTGCCTTACATCTTATGTGAAGAAAAAATGACTTGATAATTTTTTTTAAAACTCTGCGGCATTCTGTTCTTGGGATGTTACATAATATCCTTAAGTTATTAGGCAAATAAGAATCAAGGACGCCCTGTTAAGCGCTAGCATTCCTGATCTTTTCTCCAGACAAAAGCCTTGATATGCATAAACTAACTTATCACAGGCCCCTAACAACAATATCCATGGGCTTTTGACACTCTGAGAAGAATATAGGCCCAGTTGTTCAAATGAAATGATTTATTAAGACTGCATTCCAACAAATTTAGATCAATCCATCTGGATCGACCTAACTCCCTGGGGGTTCACGATAAATTGCTGTCAGCTGAATGCTTTACCCCCTTACAGCTTTTAGTAGGCGGGACAGACATTTAAGCCAGCTAAGCTGACAGTATTCTAGTGAGACTCCCCACGGGATAGATCGATCTAAAATCTGTGGGAATGCAGTCTAAGATTCGTAACAAATTATGACTGTGTGTGTGTGTGTGTGTGTGTGTGTGTGTGTGTGTGAGAGAGAGAGAGAGAGAGAGAGAGAGAGAGAGAGAAGAGTATGTTTGTGTGCATGCATGCTATGTGTGTAGAAAGGAGGCAGTACACATCGAATAAGGAAGGTGTTAAAAAACTTACCACACATTTTATTTGTATTTCAGCTTTGCCATCCCTAAGAGTCATCATTGCAGCTGTAATTGGCTCACTTATATGTGGGTTGCTGTTAGTTATAGCACTGGGCTGTACCTGCAAACTATATGCTCTGCGTATGAATGAACATTACGGGACCAGGAATGAGACCCCCATGACACGCCTTCAGGAACTCTTCAATGCTCGCCCTCCTCCCCCCAACTACGATCGCGCAATGGTAACATCACGCCCATACGACGAAGTTCAGCAGGAGATGCGGGCACAACTACAGGCTGCTCAAGAAGCAACAGAACAGCCAAGTGCCACAGGTGGAGGGGGCAGCACTATACAAGATGGGAATGCTAGTTCCAATACGAGTTCTGCAAATTCGTCAAACAACGCACAGCACAGAGACATGCTTTTAGTTTTTCCAGATTCAACAAGCAGTGACTCGGACTCGGAAACTGAACTAGGAAGGCGCATGAACCAAGTTAATATCTCTTTAGATTCAGACATCCAGGCAAGGTGGAGAAGGAAAAGGAAGAGTAGAACTAGAAGAGGAAATGGAGGTGGATCAAGTAGGGATTCAGCAAGTCAAGCATCTGGCAATCCAGCAGGATCGTCGAGGCAGGACCCAGGAAGGGGTGACCCAGATCCAAATAGGACAGACGCCTCTAGTTTGTTATCTGCAGGCGATACTGCCAGCACCTCCACTTGTACAGATAGTGTGATAGTCTCCATGTGTGAAGACAACCCCAAGCCAGACACAAGTACAATACAAACAAACCCAACTGAAGGGGGCGCTTGTGACCTAACTGCTCAAGATGAACCAAACCAATGTGTTACACCCAACATTTTAACAAATCAGAATGGTGAGGCAGTTGCCAGTGAGAGCTGCCAAGCCAACTCTAGTAACATTGTCAGTGACTCATCCAGTGAAACAGCTTTATTACACAGCCTTGGTGCAAATGCTGATGATGACCTTCCATCTAGTTCTGATCTTTCTTCGTATAGCCCAACACAGTCAGCTGAAGAGAGCCATGGTCCATTATCTCACTCAGAGACAAGTTACCAGTCAAGACCCAACCATGGAACAATGGCAGAGGATGAGGCAGCCACCCATCTCCTTGCTCCTGATGATTTTGACTGTGATGATGATGATGTCCCACTGTTAGCATAAAGATGAATAAGAATTTTTGTAGATTTTAGGAGGAAAGGTTTTATTTGTGCTTATTGTTATCATTATTATTATTATTATCAAAAATCAATTGTAATTGTGTGTTCAAAGATAATTTAAATTTTAACACAAACATATAATTTTAGTCCATATTTTTTAAACATGACATTTTGTTTGACTTTGATTTTAATAATAGAGGGTAAAATTGCAATTTGCTAATCGCAAATCATATTAAGGATGTTCAGTTCCAAAAAAAAAAAAGAAAGAAACGCAGGATCTGCTTACCACTAAAGAAGTTGATTTTTGTTTAATTACTAAAGTGTTGAAGAGGATTTAAGCAGTGCAGAACAATAAAGTAATGTGCAGGGTGGCCGTGATTTTGAAATAAGGAGCCCAAGTTTCTTTCCTTACTGAGATGGGCTGTCTTGACTCCTATAACAAAAATCTGAAAAAAAAATTAGTCCAAAATTTACATAGGTAGTCCAAAAGACAGCTAGCCAAATGCCCTGGTAATGTGTAAACAAAAGTAATAACAACTGAAATTGCATGACTTATTTTAACTTAAGAAAATTGATGTTCTGGCATTTAAATAACTGTTACATTTAAGAGCTCTTTTTTAATCCTGAGTCACTGGTGGGATGGTAAAACAAGACTGTAATTTGTAAATTGGTTGCACAAGAAGCTACTTAGACATTTCTTCTTCACTGCCAATTTTTCAAAGAAGTTTATAAACACAGCACAAATACATAACCAAGTACAGTTGCAGCTGTTGTAGCTAAAAGCAAAATTAACTTTTGTATTCAGAATAGAAGTTGATATTCTAAAAGTTTTCAGTATAGTTTCAAGATTAAAACACGGTCATAAAATGGGGATTCTCCACAAGGAGAATTCTGGACTAAGTTATTGCTATTTAAAGTTAACAGGAGTTTTTTTAATTCACTGACAAGTTATATTTGTGACATTTGGCACATTGGTTTTGTATGATATGCATAATGTAAGCATTGTACAACTGAACATTTTGAAATTTTGTCAAGCAGCGAGGGGCATGTGTCACCCACCACATCAGGATTCACAGAATTTTTTCCATAGAATGGAAAATGCCCCCCCCCCCCCTTTTTTTTTTTTTTTTTTTTTTTTTTTTTTTTTTTTTTTACTTGTCTGACGTATGGGTTAAATGGATGTAGATTTGATGTTTAATTTTGAACAAATGCAATAAAATGCCTGTTGCCCTTACGAGTTCTCCAAGACACTAGTTTATATATGTAAATATAATTTATCCAGGTGTCAAATTGATAGCAACAGGTGATTGTTATCATGTTAATTAAACTGCAAGCAATTTTTACAGTACTTGTATAGTGTACAAAAGGTTGACTTTGAAATATGTGTTAAAATGTTGACTATGTATTGTTTTTGTGTGCTATTTTCTGTATCCTGGATGTTATAGGTAATGCCCTATAATTTCATCCAGTTCGGTTCATTGAGTATGGTCAATTGAAATTTGAGTAAATTGACAAGTCTTAGAGTCTTTTTTTTAAAGCTCTGTTGCTCTCATCCCAAGGTTAAGAAATTATGAGAAACTTATCTCTGTTATCAGCAATTACTAGACACAGCAAGAGGTGTGATGATGATAATGATTACTGGGTTGGTTGGTTGGTTTCCAGTAAATTTTGAAATTTAGATTGGTTTCACAAAGTCAGCACTATTTTCTATAGACATACCAGTGATTTGGGTGATTTACTGGTAAATTTTAGCAGAAGCATTTCATTTTAGAAGTTAGGAAAGGCTGTGTGAAACTGAGCAAGGAATTGAGAGAGATGGTGATCAGAGATTCTGCTCAATTCTTAGATTCCCACATGCTGAATGTGCTGATAGATGAGCAGTGGAGGTGCACCACCCAACTGTGGACCAAAACATCAGATTTTATCAAAAGTCTTGTTTTTGTGAAGTTTAATCAGCATCAGTTGAAAGATGTGGATTTTTGCTGCTTTACATGATCATGAGTAACTGGTATATTTTATTTATTAATAATAGCAATAGCACTGTATATAAAACATTGATTTACACCCTTATTTAAGTGCAATGTATTTGCATTTTTGCACATTATCCTAGAATTGAAAACAAAAGACATCATTTATATTTCGTGTAATCAAGAATCAAGAAATGGCAATTACTTACAAAAATGAATGGATTTTTTTTCGTTTTTCCCCACTTTTTATTTAAAGCGAAGTAGATAAAAAGAAGGTGCTTTCTCAACAATATCAACATATCTGCTTTTCTGTTCTTGAACTGATGACATGCAACCAGCAGAATATATAATTATGTTCATTTTATGCACAAGCTTACTACATAGAGCAAATTGAATATGAGTGATTTGAACCTATGGTTGAAGCCCATTTATGTGGTCCGATTGCATTTTTAGCAGATCAGGCAGGTCCCTTAGAATAGACTTTTTAACAGGATTTTATTTATTTATTTATACAATTCATTTAATCTGTTCTCTATTTTGCCTTATGGAAACAATGTTTTTATTATTTTTTTATGTGATGGATACTTACACTCTTTCATAATGGAATTATAAAATCTGTTGAAATTCTGAGAAATAAAAAGTCATGTTTAGAGTTGAATTCTATGGTTTCCTCCAACTTTTAATAACAAGCCCTCTTTGAAGTTTAGAAAAAACATTTTTATACAAAAGTTAGTGAGATCATTCACATAAAAGTTTATTTACACAACTCAGTACATAAAAAACAACACAAGCTTTTACAACAAGTTCTAATTAAAGCAGTTGTTTGCATGATAATACCCCTTTGGTCACTTTATCAATTAAATTTTGTAATCATTGTACCAATTGATAGAAAAATTGTACTCGCATGAAAAATTTCTCTAACAAGAAAATGTAAGTTGCAAACCTTTGAGAATACAAAGTTTACTTGTGTCCAGGCTACATTTATCAATGTGAAGGACTGGTGCATTCTACAACTTTCATCTTATTAAATCTCTTAATAAAATAAAATTGTACCCAGCATGGCCCTTAACTATATATGCAGCTCCCTCTACACTGAACATGAATGGATCACTAACTCACGATTTTCATCAATTTTTTTATTGAAATGTATGAAAATTGTACCCCAAGTATCAGAACTGAAAAGGTAACTTGCCTCCACCCAGCATCCTCTCTGTTTTATGCTAAAAATAGATTGAGGTGGGTTTCTAGTACTTTGTAACACAAGGTGACAACAAATCTTTAATTTATCCATGATTTTTTAAACAATTTTTTTAATATTCTTACCCACGTTAACATACAAGTCAAATTACTGGGCTAACAAACAAACAAAAAAAAAAAAAAAAAAACTACTCTGTAGTTGGATGATAGAGAGCTTTAAAATTTTAATAAGGGCTGGATAATTTGCAATTATGCAGCCCTTTGTGTATTACATTCAAAATAAAAATGTACCAAAAATACAGATTTTATTTAAAATTAACTAGAATGTCTTGCATGAATTTCAAATATATCTCTTGATTTTGCTTTATATACATATATTTTTCTATATAAATAATAATTTATCTATCCATCAATGCGCCATGCAGGTTTGAGATACATGAAAATTATTTTAATACTCCCATGTAACATGTACCAGTCACCAGTCACCAGTAGCCAGAGATGTGCAATGCAGCCAAACCTGAGTTTGAATATTCTATGTTTGGAATATTGTCCTAAAGTGGCCTGCCGAGAAAATATGTCATTTGCAGCAAAATTATTTTTCCAAATATTCATTTTGATAAGGATGTTAGTCAGGGATAATCAATGTTCTGTCAAGGGATTAAACTGAAGAAAGAGCGGACACTGCTGTAAGGTGCTTGATTCTGCATCTACAGCAGAACTCTGAGCATCATCGCCATCTTCATCATCATAATTTTGGTTACAAGAGCCAGACTGAGATTTGCAAAACAGAAATTCAGGGGCGGATCCAGAGATATTTTCTGACAGTCTTCCAAATTATCTTTGTTGATCCATCTTCCTTTTTTGACCATCTTCCAACAGAAAAAATGTATATCCGTCAATGTAAAGCTGAAAATCCAGAAGACCCAGAAGATGGCCTCAATCTGCCCCTGGAATTTTGTGGTAGAACACAACCTGAACAGCCCCGCATCAATTCATTAGTCACAAATCTTATTTCCCACTAATATCCAGTTGGTGACAACCCCGGAAACCCAGTGGGTGCGGGTGCACCCCCATGGTAACCCAGAGGTGGTCCTCCTGCAGGGTAGCCAGTCTGAAATGTGAAGGGTTCCACCCCCTGTGTTCCTGGGTACCCTCTCACCTCCTGGTATGATTTATCTGGAGGGTAGGCGTAGGACGGGTGACCCGTGTAAAACGAGGGCACAACACCAGGTTCTGCCTGAGGGGGGATTTCTATTTTTCCTTGGCCCTGGAAGATGGAGGTTTTGACAGTCACAGCACTGATTTCATTTTCCATATGTTTTTTGAGATTAAATGTTCTGTCATTTAAAAGATAAAAGGACTGAAATTGCCAGGTGTACACCATCATGGTGAAAGTGAGCAAAGTACTGCTCAATCTATCTTGTACGGTAACTTCCCTTCTTTGTTTATTTTTTTTTAAATAAATTGACTCACTCACTTTTTTTATATATTCATTCATTTATTTCTCTTGTATTTATTTATTTATTTATTTTTTTATATTTATTTATTCCGTAAACAAATTTATAACCAATATCTTATCTTTATTTGTGTTTGATCTCTTTGTACAACAACTACCAGTACCTACCGGTATAGTTAGAACCTGTTGTGCTATGCTTCCATACAGCTGGGGTACCAGGGGTCTGGCTTGTGTATACAGTCCCCCCAGGGCTGCATACCCCTGGTGTCCTCCTGCCGGGACAGCATCTGCCACATCCGACCTCACCTAAAATGAACAGAAAATGTGATGATGTCATGTCTGATATCACATGTGAGTTCTGATGTCACTGATGATGATGTTATCTCTGATGTCATATATGTATGTTGTGATGTCACAGATAGAAAATGTGACCTCAAAATGAAATTAATGGGACATGCTGTTATGAGTATCATGCATGTTGTTGCCTTTGATGATGCCACATTAAATAATATGACTCTACCTAAATTGGTGGGAAATATGGCCCTATTGTGCATAACATGACGGAATTTAATTTTCTCAACTACACAGAAAAATCATGTACTGCATGGTAGGTAAATTGATACTTACTGTGTTTAAAATTGACATTGCTCTCATTTTATCTCCTTCATAAGTAAAAGCACTTAGGATATATTCTACGCCTACTCTGCTTTGGCAGTCCACTAATGCCCTGCAATATATATGAAACATTAAAATTAAGCACTGAAATGAACACGCATTTTTTTTCTAAACTCTGAGGTTATATATTTGCTGTAAGTATGAAAAAAATATTTAGTGTCAAATAATTTAGCATTATCAAGTGAATATTATGAAATATGTTTTTGTGTTCCCTTACCTTTTTATACAGTCTAATAGAATGAGTTTGTCATTGTGTACACTGGCAGAAGCAATTATTTCCCTTGCTTGGTCACACGTCATACGACACAATCTCTGTGGGGAAAAACAAAATAAAGATCAATGCATATTACTTTATGTAGCAGTATTTTGCCTCACCTTTACTCACAACTGATAGAGATGGGATTTTTTCCTTATGCTATCCATTTCATTTCAGAAGTTGATTAAGGTACTTCAAAATGAAAATGAAACTAAACTTGATGTGGATGATATAAATAGCCATCTCCTACTGTTTTGAGTCTACCTATATAATGCTGAAGTTCAATGTTTTGGGCAAATGTAAAATACCATTTACTAATAGATGTTTTAAACAAAAGCATATTTAGGTCATCAAACTGATCTGTAACTCTCTTCATTTTTTCAGAGTAAGGTAACCAAAATAAATTAATGTTTCATTAAGTTATTAAAAAGAGAAACCAAAATCTGTTTTAAAACGATATTAGAAGTGGTTTTTCTGTTGAAAATTTGTGAAACTGATCACAACAGTGCCTGGCTCTACTCACAGGTTCCATGATCTGCATAGCTCTGACTTTGTCTGATGGAATTGCAAATGCATTGAGCATAGAAGAAACCTGGAACAAACAGAAAAGTTTCGAACTGCTTAACATCATCAAACCTTTTCAGCCTGCAGGGTTTACTGGTGCTTCTCTCAAACAGTATTATATAGGGTAGATCTAACTGGATAGACAGCTAGGTCAACTGTGGGTTAATATACACACTCATGGCTTGTGAGACTGATAAACTACATATGAAATTGTCTTGGTTCAAAAATAAATGTAAAAACATACTTTCTTTAAGTATAAATGAAATTAAGTAAAAAAAAAAAAAAAAGAACCACTCCTGAGTGCATGAAGATAAATGAAACACGTAGTTCTGTTTTCTTTAGCTACAATACAGAAATGCTCTTTTGTTCAATTTTTCTAAGGTTCTTAGCATAGAAAAAAGGTAAGCATTATTTCTACAGAATCAAACTTCAATGCCAGAAAAAAATCTATCAAATTTCATTTCCCTAATCTCAGCTGGAACATATCATAAAAGGCACTGCATTATTGATCAATGTCAAGTACCAGTACCTCCAGACAGCATGAGATCAATACATCATTATTGATAGCCAGAAAACATTATATACTTCATATGTCTTGTAAGAATGGCATGAGAATGTAATGTTAAAAGAAACTTATATTTCATATGCTACATGTATCAATCACAGACTGGAGGATGTGGAAACAGTTTTTACTTAAATCAACACTTTCAGTGTTTTATCAAATTAATATATAGATTGTATGACAATAAGTTATTTCATGAAACAACTTTTTTTTATTTAAGATATTCTTTCTTTCAAGTTGGTGAGATGGATAAAAGAGAAAACCGTACATGTACATGTGTTAAGGTCCAAAATGTAATATGCATTACCTGATTGGCATTATAATAACCTTTGGCAGAAAACAAGATTTCTAGCTTCTTCTGTGATGAACCGGTCTCCTAAAAACAACAAAAAAGGGTTTTTCAGAATTGTTAACTTATGTTTGAAGATTTCTAAGACAGCAATAGTACATTTGATACTATATATATATATATATATATATATATATATATATATATATATATATATATATATATATATATATATATATATATATATATAAACATCTAGATACATAAACATCTAAGATATACTTTATCAGGAATAAATTGTCCTGCTAAAGTATTATTTTGTTAAAAAACTTTAAATAAGTAAGAATTAAATAAATTAAATTTTTGTATTAAAAATGAACAATAAATGAATGATAAAAGCTACATAAAAATCACATTCTATTCTAAAAAAGTTAAAGCTAGGGGTTAATTGGTAAAAAAATTTTAAAGGTAAATGATTAAAAAAATAGTAAGATCTGTTGGCAATCTGTTTGAACTCTAAGAATGCCATAACATGGGTAAAACTTTTGTCAAAAACTGAAGACCTGTATGTAAACTCTTCAGTCCACTGGACTTGCAGACCTAAGAAACTACTCTCCTTAATAAGAACTAACTAGTCCTGAGAAGAAATTTACCAATACTAATATTGGAAATTATTGACTTACAGGTATGGCATCTACTTGAAATTCCACAAGTCAGATTAGACTGGTAACTTTGACAAGTCTTATTATTTTACTAGCCACAATATCTGCTGTCAAATCAAGAAAATAGTTTCAGACCAACTGTTGACTTATGTTGTTCATTGATTCACACACAGAAACATCAGTACCATTATATATTGTAATTCTGAATTGTCCCCTATTTTACCTCAAACAATATTTCTTGTACCAAAAGATATGATAGGTAGATAAACGCACATGTACAGTACTCCATAGAGCTGAGTAAATTATAGCATGATGGAAATTATTTATCTCAAAATCCTCAAGTTGAATTTTTCACATAAAATGTGTACAAAAAAATTCTAACACTGTAGCTGTTACGCATGGCAGTTTTCTCAACAAAAAAAAAAAGTATTAGCAGAAATAGAATAAATGTTGTGATCCTACATTGTAATTCTTCATAATAAGAACAGGAATATTTTAATTTCGCTGTAACTTTTTCATAAAGAAACCAGAATGAAATAGAATCTGTGACGATGACAAACCAAGTGCAATCGTAAACACTCAAGCTGTATGTATACTACATGTAGTAGCATTCAAATATAAATCAGTAAACATGTTAGTAAACATAAACAAAGCGCCGTGTTTTAATTCATACATACCATCATTATTCTGTGAAGAAGAGCACCAAACTGCTCTGGATGCATCTGCTCTTTGGCCATATTGATAACTTTCTCTGTTATGGAAAATCACGCCTGGAATATCTTAGACCGACCTCTCAGCTATATTGTAGTTTACCGTTTCCTGACAACAGCATTCCGGAAGTCACTAGGGTTTATAAGAAATGCGGCTTAGAAAAGGTTTATGTTATGTTTGCAATAGTAATAGCCAAACATTCGCTATCATTTCAATATCAAAAATAAAAATAAACAGAAATAACTTTATCATGATGATATTTCATATTTTTTTCAAACAATATATGAAGTATGGAATTGTATTAAATATTCAAGTCTCAGTTTTCGTGACGGGCACCTGTCAGAGGTCAAGTAAGGTCAAGGTCGTTGGGGCGATAAAAGCCTCCGGTTTTGATGTTTCGCTGGGATGTTTTCCGCATTTTGAAGAAAACGTTAAGAGTGCGGGTACTGGAAACTGACGTCAATAAGGTAATTACAGCCTAGCATATCCAAAAGTAAAAGAATATTGTTTATTATTACTGCTTTTCCTCTATCTGGAGATACATTACCACGTAACATGTGCACGTTACCGAAAAACACGTTTCATTTTGCTTTTGATTTACACTGTAGACTATTCCGGCATTAGACGACAATAATTGAATTTACGTCCTGACAGTCAAATGTATAGCTCGAAAATCCATACGTAAGCACTCCCTTTTTATGTGTTGACGCATGAAAGATATTCAGGTAAGTGACTGAATGAATTGGTGTTCAGCGAGCAAATCGGCTTTTTTTTTTTTTTTGGGGACTTTCGTTTTCTTAATAATATTAACATATGGCAACTACAAGGTTAAAGTTGTACATAAACTGGATTAGAATAAAAATTGCAAATAAAAAAACAGTTGCTTAAGATGAAGAATGTACAATATACAATAAATAATAGATAAATAAAGCACAAACCTCTAAAATTTGGTAAAAGCAAAGGGCATAAAATAGAATATATACAATTAAGACCAAGTTTCAAAATAAAACACAGACCACTAAAAGTTTGATAAGGAAAAGGGAATAAAAGTGTTTTTAAGACATTTGGTTCTGAATTTTGGTACACTAAAATTTGTAACTGTCTATGCCCCAAGTTTTCTGTGTGGTTTGCAGGTTAATATATAGGTAGTTCAACTTAATATAATTCTGTCATTTTTTATTTTTGCAAAGAATGATTGGCAGAGGTCTATGTGCAGCTCCTTTAGCGTAACAAGCTTTGCTTTGACTAGGGCATCAAGATATGGTTACTCAGAGAATATAATTTTAAGTGGATGGATTCTATTATTTTGCATTGTTCCTTGGTAAATCTGGGGTGCCACACAGGACAAGCATGTTCAACAACAGACTGGATTAACATCAGATATATCTGAACAAGATCTGATGAGGGCAGTTTGGCACGTGTAAGTTGGTGTAGATAATACAATTATGTACTAGTCTAGTTCATGCTTCTTTATAGATAAAATTAACATGTTCAGACCAAGATAACTGCATGAAACTATGGAAAATCATCATACACATATTGAAGTTTAAGTTCAGCAAATTTCTTGGAATATGATCGACCTTTGTAGGAGCTAGTTAATAAAATTATGATGGGTTCTGTGTTTTTTTTTTAATTTTTATTATATATATATATATATATATATATATATATATTTTTTTTTTTTTTTTTTTTTTTGGGGGGGGGGGGGGCACCCTGTATTTTTAGAATCGTACTACATGTTCATGTATATGCTACCCCTGTACTTGTAGCTCCATCAGGCTTCAGGCCAAGATGTTGTTCTAAATTCTGTGCTACAAAATTCTCTGCTTTTCAAGGATTATATTAAATCCCGAAAACTTATAAAGTAAAATCATAGTTAACTTGAGTTAAGCCTTTCCTGCCAATACTTTAAACCACTGTCTTAAAATCTCTAAACAAGCTTTGCATGTGATTGGCACAAAAATTTCAGGTGTTAAGAAAAAAGGAGCAATCCTAATTGGTAATGGTCCTTTTGAAAATGTCCTAATCATGTTTTCTATATTTGTTTATCTACTAGTAACTATTAAAGGGATAATAACTCTTCGTATGAGATCTATATTGCACAACAAAAACATTGTGAATAACTCATTGAAATATAATATATTCTGTTTTACGAAAAAAACAGCAGTTATAGCTATTATTCTGATATCTGGGCTTGTCTTCAGATCACCTGACCTCCATTGATGGCTATACTCTGTTATAATCTCTTAAGAGATTTTAACAAAAAAACCAAACTTTTTAGAAAAAAAACAGGGACTAACTTTGAATGTAAAAATTGATTCATTAACCATTGGTAAGTATGGGAAAATGGTTGTTTACTCCAGGAAAATTCATTTTTTGGCTAGTAATAAGAGTTATTATCCCTTTAAGAACTAAATTAATTAGAGATGATATAAAACATTAACTCAATGTGGAATCCTGCACCAATTCCACATTGTATAATCATAGTTAGTCAACATGTTAATGTCTAATTTGCCTGCATACACATCTGTCCTGCATACATAAATATTATTCTCTGTAGATGCTCGAGACAGATGCATATCATCTGTTAATATTGCACAGCAATTAGTATGTAAATAAGTAGCAGCCCTTTGTACGCATAGATTCCCAGTAGATAATGTGTATAAAATTTGAATTCTTGTATTGAATAAACACACATTTGATTTGGATCTGAAGATGTGAGGTTGTTCTGTTATGCTTCTCTGTGCGCGTAAAGTGAAAGACTGAGTCGAATCTGGAGTCATGTCGGAGCCCATAGATTAGTTAATTCGTTAATGAAAATTGTTACACTGAAATTCAGTACAATTATTTATGAAAGTGAAAGTCATTTTGGATGGTTCACAACACCAAGTGCAGGTTCAGGTTAAGCTCTTCTCAAGGAAAATTCAATTGGATGTGAAAATCAATGATAAGCTGCCTTTAATGATATCTCAAATACAAAAATCTTAAAAGGACACAGAATTTATCCTTTAGACAGAATTCCTAACATACTCATGTAAAATCTAAGTGACATGTAAGTGGGGGAATTACTGGTTGTTGTGAACTGTGTATTTGGTGACCTGTTACTGGAGAGAAGTCTATCAATTTCAGCAAAAGAATCATCAGTGAAAAGCATCTGTACTATGGTCTGTGTCAATCATATGGCACAAGCTTAGCTGATACTCAGATAGAAAGGTTTTGATTGTCAGATAAGACCAAATACATATTTGGATGTCACAACCCAACTATTTTGCTGACAGCAGATTTTATTCAAGACTTCAGGTATAAAGACAAATTCGTTGAGCCTTGACATTCTTAGGTCCATTTATGTTGAGTCTTTTTTTTAAACAACAAAGCTTTCTTCATTTGGAAGATGGGCTTTGTCAGACCACTGGCATTCCCACAAAATTCAACTTTTTATCCAAAAGTCTAAATAGATTCCACCAAATTTGTGATATTATAGTAATTTTATGACATGTTTTTTGTTATTTTTTGTTTATTTATTTATTTTAATATTATTATTTTTTTAAAGGAATGCAAACCCCAAATATTTTGTTTACTACTTGGTCTAATTTGGTGATAATAACATTCATCTCATGCTGTTCCGTGTCAAAGTTTCCATATAATATATAGCTTTTTTGCCACATTTTTCATCTGACCATGGCATGCTTGCTGGGTCACCACACTTGTTAATCCAGTTCTGGATGTGGAGGTCATGGTCGGTGGTTCTGGACAAAGATTAAAAAAAAAGCTGGGTGGGGTCTCATCAGATATTAGATTTTGAAGGTAGGATTTATCTGCAGAATGTTAATCTTTTTTAAGAAGTTTGTTTGCATGTGTGTGTGTGTGTATGTGTGTGTGTGTGAGAGAGAGAGAGAGAGAGAGAGAACTGGTTGAGTATTCATGTCAACAACATTACAATTAATTTTCTCGATGGAATGGGCTATATAATGGCTAGCATATGCAAGGCTAGCAAATCTAACTTTAACCTAACTTTAAGAACAGAACTTAGTTGTTCTTAACCATGATTTCAGCTGCATGAAGAGATTTATAGTATGAGCAGAAGAAGCTGGAAATGTATTATTTTTTCAGAAATTTGCCAGGACTATGTCTTCAGCCCCAGCAGCCAAAATAGCTAAAATGGAATATGACATCCAAGAGAAAGAAACTCCCACGGAATTAATAACAGGAGATGAAGTACACAAAGACAACAAAGAGCATAAAAACCCTGTAATAAGCCAAGAGACAGATAAAGACTGTGTTCACCAGCATACACAGATCATGCAACCTCCAACACAGTTCTACAGGTACAACTGTAATATCTTGTCATCAAAGGAAAAATATATTTGCTGTTTATCAAATTTTGCCTCATTTGCTATGCTGAGAAATCATCAGAAATCAATTCTTTCATAAATATCACATGTTATAGTATTGAACAACTGACGGAACATCAAAATTAAATGATTTTTGTTGATATTTAAGGCCAGTTTCAACCTTTTAGTTCAGATTTAATAAATTGACCACAGAGATTTGCATGAGGCTACATGTTCTGGCAAAATAGCATGTTCTAGCGTTTTCTCATGTACAACTTTTGAAAAAGTAACTTGCCTAGAACTTTAAGAGAAATGGTGTATTTTTTTCTTCTTTTTTTTTTGGTATACTAAATACTTTTTAACCCTACTGAAGTTTAGTTGTTACCCCCAGCTAAAAAGCTCTTATGATGCTTTTTTCTTTCTTTCTTTTTTTTTCTTTCTTTCTTTCTTTCTTTCTTCCTTTCTTTCTTTCTTTTTTCTTTCTTTCTTTCTTACTGTTTTGTTTTTCAATTATTTGTTTAATTATATTCACTTATTAACCCATTAATTTATTATATTGATCTATTGATTGATCTTTTTTTGCTGATTGTTCAATTGACTATCACACACCTGCCCTACTCCTCCCTTCTAGGCGTGAGTTACCAGACACCTGTATCTCATTCAGTTCAGAGGAAGGGAAGCTGGTCTTCAGGAAGGCTCTGGATGCTGGGCATCTGAACAGTTATTTTAGCCTGGCCTCTCAGTTCCGCACCCAAGAGGAGCCAGCATACTGCGGCCTGTCCACCCTGGTCATGGTGCTGAACGCGCTGGCGGTAGACCCAGGGAGGGTGTGGAAGGGACCTTGGCGATGGTAGGTTGGATTGGAGATCTGTGTGCTTCGCTTGTTTGGTTTACTTTGGCTGATGGTAGACTGCAGAGAATTTAGGAAAATGGGGTCTCACAATGTTTTGTAAATTTATTTTTTAAAGTTGGCAGTGATGATTTATTCAAGATAATTTAAATCTTTCAGGTGTGGATTATTGAAATATTTTGTCTGTCATTGTGATATTCTGCCTTAATGTTTTTTATTTATTTTTTTATTTTATTATTATTTTTTTTTTACATATTGTTATTTATTTTTTTATTTTCTGAATGTATTGATTAAAAAAAATTACTTTGCCAAAGTCAAGAGAGTACATGTGTGTAAAGAATTATGCTAAATTTGATTCCATTGTGAAAAATGATTGTCACCTTTTAAACTTTGAAGGCTTGGTCATGTTGATGAGGAATTGTGGATGAGATTTGAAACCACCACATATGCAGCTGTTTGGGTTGCTTGCAGAATTCAACAGCTAGAACCTGGTCCAAAGAGACCAGGCATACTAGTATGTACAGTGTACAACTGGCAGAGCATTTCATTATTCAAGTCTACAATCCCTAACCTTCAACCTTTCACCTCTATAAGGTACCATGAAGACATGCTGGAATGCTGCGTACCTCTGCAGATCATTCAAGAAAAAGGAATCACGCTGCGAGAGTTTGTATGCCTGGCGATATGCAACTACCTGGACGTGGTCACGAACTACGTTGACCACAGTGCCTCTTTGGAAGACTTCCGGGAAATTGTAAAGGAGCTCACCCAAGTGGATGATAAAGTACTCGTCTGCTCATATTCCCGGAAGACATTAAAGCAGACTGGTGCAGGACACTTTTCGCCCATTGGTGCATACGAACCTGAGCGTGACCTGGTGCTCTTGATGGATGTGGCACGTTTTAAGTACCCGCCACATTGGGTTTCACTGCCGTTGTTGTGGGAGGCCATGAAGACCGTGGATAGTGAAACAGGTGACACATTGTTATGAAGTAGTATTGCGTTAGTTGAGATTAGTTTGCAGTTCTACCTATAGATGTCACTGTATGTAGACCACTGTGCTGTGTGCCAGTTTGAGTGAGTTGTTGATATTTTGAGAAATCTGTGCTGATTTGTGGGTTATGGGTGACACAGTCATTGCATAATTTACTCTGATAATAAATCAGGAAATAAGATGTGATTACTTATAAGTTATTAAGGAACTCTAATTCCTGAGTTGTAAGATTTAAGTTTTCATTTGAGAAAACAATTGCAAAAATATACAGGTGAAGATTGTTAAAAAATCAATTACAATTGGAAACATTATATTAAAAAAAACTTTTTCGCAACAGGTTGTTCACGTGGATACTGCATAATGAAACGGAACCAGACAACTGAACCCATGGTGCTGTTCAGGACATCTCCCCATCTCAGCGTGACGCTGAAGTCCGAGTTTCCTGAGGGGATCAGAACATTCCTGAAGGAGTGGGAGACATGGTTGAATGTCACCCTTAGCAAGGCGGAGGAGGAGTCTCAGAAGTCGAGTTTCATGGACAATGCTGTGTTTGCCTTTATACGTAGTTTGTCTGTCCTTGGGGAAGAAGACGCTCTCCTCAGCACACAGATTGACATGAACTGTGCCAAAGCTTTAACGCAAACTCACATGTGCTGTGTAGAAAACTTAGTCGAGGCTCTGAGCAACACTTATCTCCACAAGAGAGTGGAGTCCATCACTCGTGCTACAAATGCATATCAGGAAATCAGAAAAATCTGGATGCCTGCGGTTATGTATAACACCAATGGCAAAAGCAGTGGCTGTATTCACAGAGACACTTTTTCTGACAAATTGCATGACTCTGCATTTTTGACAGCATTGATGTTTGCATGGCCTTACAAAGAACAAAATCCCGTAGATGGCGCTGTGACAAGAGGAGACTTATTGAAGAAAATACTTCACCAGGAGCTGGATTCTGCACTTCATGTGTTGAAAAATGAGATAGAACAGTTGTCGAAACTTCTTAAGGTGGTGCTCAAGAAGTATTATCATTGTCAAGATTGTGGATGTAAAACAAATGTTTTTAAGTAACAAAGAACATTTGATTTCAGGTTGCAACAGACTGCCTCACACTTACAGCAAATTGTATTATTATTATAGTAAAGGCTCAGGTGTGTTCTACTGGTAAGTTATTTTCACCGAGCATACCTATTTGGGCAGAAAAACCTAATTATCATTATGCATGTACAAAATGAATGTGTGCTGAGGAGCTCTTTTGAACTTGAAGTTAGAAAGTCACACCTACCAGTAAATGCTTGCCAGTAGATATATTTTTTCTTAAGGGTTCTGCACACAAAATTAAGTAGTAAAGAAAAATCCCAGGAAATTCAGTTTATGCCCTGTCCAAAGAAAAAAAGTACAACATTTGAATCTGATTTGAGTTCTAAATTTCTTTTATTAACAAATGTTACAAGTGTAATTTAAAAGCCATCATCTCCTTTATAAAGACTTGACTTTAAATTTTGTCAGAAAATTGTAAAACTGTCTTATTTTATCTTTTCTAAAATGTAATTAGCCATAATATTTTCAAAAATAATAATAAGGTGCTATAATGATGACAGTATTGTCAAGTTTCATTGTCAACACATTTTACAAGTTGGAGAAATTTGTCTGTTTGTTGTTCAGTCAGATAACTGTTTACTTATAAACTCAAATTATATGTGATTGTCTCTTAAACCATGTTAAGAATATTAGAAAAATGAGGGAGTTTATGCACATTTTAGTTGTCTTTGTTTATTAGATTTTTGCAAATTATATATTTTTATTTCAAAATATTTAGCACATCTTGGACTTTTCTGCCACAATAGTATATAAATTGAATATTTAGGTGCTACAGTTGACTAGCTCTCTTTAACTTGCCAGTTTATTTATTTCACATTTAATTTTTATTTTGCTTTTATGTTTTAGGTATTACTAATGAAAGGAAGAGTTTTAAAGCACAGAATGTTGTTTTACCATAAAACCTGAATGTTATTTGTAGCCATGCACTGTACTTTACCCAGGATTAAAGATTCGTTTCAAATGTATCTTGTAATAGTCTTATACCTTGAAAACATAAGGTACTTGCTCAGCCTGGAAGGCTTATGTAGCATAATTTTACTTAAAAGTAATTAAAGTAGTAATTAATTCGATCAAAGTGACCATTATAATAATACACCTGGATTGGAAGCCACTTGGGTTAGAGTCCAATGCTAAATAAGTGTATATGTTATATTAAGGATAAAGAGAGAAATAACAGTAGGGATCAGTAATGTTTAGTTGGTGACTGACCCAGCGACTTGGGTTAATTCACAATGAATCTTTAGAACCAGCTAGTGTGCACTAACACTTTGGGTAATCTTGCTGAATGCAATCAAGTAAACGGATTCCCACCCCTGATGTTGGCCCCGTTCCCGAGGTCCCATCAGTTTGGAGTCCGCTTCAGTGTGCATCTCTGAGCAAACGTTAAAGGGATAACAACTGTTCGTTTTAACATAAAAACGGATTTCCCTGGGGTAAACGATGATTTCCCCATACTTACCAATGTCTAATCAATCAATTTCGACATTCAAAGTTATTCCATGTTTTTTAAAAGAAATTGCCTTTATGAAGTAATTTCTTACGAGATAATTACAGAGGTACCGTGTATAGCCACTTACAAAGGTCCACGTGGTCTGATGACAAGCACAGTTTCCAGAATATTGCAATAACCGCAGTTTTGGTATTTAAAATGGAGTTTATTTTTTTTATTTAATTTTATAATTTTTTTTTTACTGTGAAATATGAATCTCATACGAACGGTTGTTATCCCTATAAGATCATAGAAAATACTGATGTTAACGCTGGTATGTTTCAGAAAAGTGTCATATTTTTGGCGACCCGCAACGGACATTACATCAAATTTTCTACACAGAATTGCATGGAATCTCCCAACTCCTACTAACAGTTATCTTTTATGTCAACTTAATTCGAACATTTAAGAAACGAAAAGATTTCTCTAATGATGTTTCTCAGTTCCTCTCTGAATCGTCTTCCTGTCAGACAGTAGAGAAAGAAGTTTATAGAATGGTTCGCGTAGTTCAGAATCAATACTACCGCTTGCGTGAGTTCAAATTTGGCCTTCTCGTGGGGATCGCCAATCTTCCGCTTCCAGTAGGACTGCAAAAGGCGGTTTATAAATCCTGGGATGGACAGAACAAGGAACGCTATGGTCACTGACAACAGCATGATGGTCAGTGATTTGGTGTAGGCGTGGCGGGCTCTTTCGTTTTTAGATTGGCTTTGGGATCCTAAAAGCCCATTAGAACTTCGTGAATCGGAACCCCACTTGTCGGGCGCATTGCCGTTCCTGTGAAACCGCCGCTTTTCTAGGTTATATAAACCGTTTATGATTAAGATGTTAAGAACCAACATGGTGGCAAACGGTCCGATGACGTACACACAGAATATGATCCAGGGAAGCACGTGCTTCCAAAAGAACCTGTAGCTTTCATTGGGATATCCACAAACGCGGACCAAAACCGTCTCGTTTCCAACCAGCTGATATTCATTGCCGCGTGTCCAGAACACGTGCAGCGTTTTGGCGGCGATTAAGACGGCAATGATCGCAAGCACCGCCACAGACCGCTTTATTGTGCACAAGGTGCTGGCTTTCTCCGGCTGGCATACCGCTATGTACCTTTCAACTGACACGGCGACGAGGATGTACGCCGCAAAGTCCATGCTGAAGTACGTCAGAAACTTGGTCATCTGGCAAGAAAAGACGCTGAACTCGCGGATATCTGCAACATCGAAGGAACTGAGGAGATGCCGCATCAACCCCACCCACAACACAACTAGATCGGCCACGGACAGCGTGGCGAGGTAGATTCCGATCGGTGTTGCCCTCATTGACTTTCTTGTCATCACGGCTAAAGATAAGCAATTCCCGAACGTTCCCATTACGATGAGTAATGGAGGCATTATTTTCCATAACACATCCGCAGCTGTTGTTTCGGGAAATTCGTAGTTGTGTGTTCTGTTGCCATCTAGCAAGAATTGGTCGTTTTTGTACGTCGCGTTTAAAGTCATCGTACTACCTGTCTTCTATTTAAACAACAAACAAAAATCCGAAATCTTGCGTTGTTAAATTCCTTTCTGGTTTCAGTCTTAATTTACACACAAGGCCTCGACAGCTTTCCGAAGACGTCAATGGTTAGATATCGCTAACTCTCCAAGTTGAGGAAATAATAATTGCCTGAAGTCGTTGAGTTGAAGTGATCGATGAGCTTTATATCCTTGCATGTGTTTTCCGGGTGCTTCTTTACGGCTGAAAAACGACTCGAACGTCCTCAATTCTGGTCCTTTTTTATGTAACAGACCCAATGCTTAAACCCCGATGAAACAACGTTCACAAGCATAAATTCGCAGAAGAAACAACCTTGCAAGCGCCTATCCTTTGATGTCAAAGAACCAGGTAAAATGTACTACGAGAGATTCGGGAGAGTCTCAATACGATGTTGATTATATCGACATTAACTATATCCCGCGCCAACGCTGATGGATGCTATGCCATGCATCACATTTCATGGAATGAGACGTTCTGTAGTGCCCACTGACAGCTCATTTTCGAGCACATGATCATCAATCAAGTTTATTTTTTCTCGTATTAAGAGTTGTAGGGTTATACGTCTTCTTAAAAAAAACAAAACTACTTAAGAGTGCTTGCGGTTCTGATTTCTCACCGACTTACATGCTAGTCGGGCAACAGAAAAATATCTTCAGAATGAATATCGAAGTATAAAATGCAGCGAAAATCCAACAGATTTACAGTTAGAATGATAATGACGCCATTTGCCTAACAACAAGAGATGAGAGTCAGTTACGGCTATATATAGTAGTCTGCGGTGGGCACAATGACGTGAAGAGATGAGCTTTTTATGAACTAGTATGTGCTAACTAGAGCAATCCCGTTTATTTCAGTATCTGGCAGATTTATGATGATGATTGATGTAATGTATCCAAATTACAAGAATTACGTCTCCTGTATACATAACATATATGCCAGCTTCTTGTAAGTATGCAGTTTTACAAATCCATCCAACATCCGTCTGTCCAGCGTGTTCAATTAATATAGAACATTTTCAGATGTGAACTTATCTTTCGTTTTGACAAGCGATACTCTGTTTCAACAGTCGTGGCAGAAAATGGACTTAATATTCTTCCTTAGAATGGTTTTAAGAAACCAAGTAGCGTTTTGAGGTGTTCTTTCAGGGTATTCATCCAACCTGAATCAATGAAATTGGGACGCTATGTCAGTATATAAATCCAAGAAATAGGCAAGTCCTCGTGCCTTGTACGCTGGTGGCTGATTTGAGCTGCAGTGGGGTACGCTGACTACTACTCCGTTGATCACAACTAGAAGATTTTCATTCCCAAAGAGTTGAAAATCGCAGAAATAAGTGGTATACCTTGCCGGCACGATTCCCTTTTTAAAAGAGGCATTGACTGATGATCCCAAAGACGTCGGCGGTCTCTGAAATGTAAAGGTATGGTTAGACAACGCAACCAACCGTTGTCATGGCAACGCTATCCTGAAAACTCAATCTCGGGCCACCGTTTTGACACATCATTAAATTTTCATTCAACATTATCCGGAAAACTTCACGCGTTTCTCAGAAAAAAAGATTCATTGAAATTGTTTTTTACCAAGGATCATTAACAGTAAAGAGACTGACTTACTGACTGGTCATATATTGTGATAAATCTGTTTGAAAAAAGGGCTGATTAAAAATAGATTTGTAAAATAAGAAAAATAAAAAGGGACAGTTTTCAGTGATGATAGTATTGTGCGTTAATCAAATTCTTAATCTTTAATCTTCGTTAATCTTTCTAATTATTCAAATATTACTAAAATGTCTGAGTTTTCTCAGTGTGGCATTATGTTACTAAGTTACTGAATTTCCCAATGAACATTTTGTACAATAAATGAACTTCCCTCTGAATTGGCCTGATGATGCAAGGAAAACGGCACCAATACATGTATTTACTATTACTCTTTAGGTGTTTCAACAACGCTACAGTCCACTTAATTCCAAAGACTTCATTTTGAGAGTGCAGCTGTCTGATATGTGGGTCGGCCTGTGCTGTTACTAGTCATTTGTAGTTTTTTCCTTTAAGTTTTTGGGCGTTTAGACAGCAATGAAACCCGCTGTGTTTGTTTTGCTCAGGTAAGGGTATCTCAAAATCAGGTTTCACTAGCATATAACTTAACGAGATCGACACCAAGTTCTTGTAGTTTCTAATGTACACGGCACGCCTATGTCTTGTAAAATTACTTCTAATAGGACTCTCTTGTGCCCACTATGGGTGAATCTGAATGGACAGCCAATTTTCTTAAATGTATCCTATTGGGATTTTTCTGCCAAATAATATTCTTCCAGAGAAAAATTTTCCAACTCACGAACCGTTGATCGACCAATCCCTTGGGTTTGATGTTATATTCTAGTTTAACTGTTCACTTCTAAATAGCTGCATAACCAGTCACTTAAACCACAATGTCTTCTTGTATATTTCAATAGGAAATATCTTAAGTCACACCAGGTTCTTTTTATCTATTTATATAATTTATTTTCTTAATGATTGAACTGGTAAAAATAAGTAGTTCTGCGGCGTTTATAGGCTTTGGGCGTACTCGCCCAATGTAGGCACGAAAAATATGACTTTGGGACGTTTTCAAAGGCAGATAGTGCACCTTTAAACATTATTCACATTCTCCAGTTGTATGCTTTAGACTTAACATCTTATTTCATATTCGATTGAACTTTCACATGTACGAAAAAAAGTTAATAAAAAGTAGCCCACGAATTAATTGAAATACCACGTATATCAACTTAACGGGGCCATTCACTCTTTATATGATTTCCGGTGCCCTGCCCAGGATAGCTTGCTCGGGTCAAAGTGAGCTTAAAAACTTGTTTTATTATGTCCTCAGTAGTGGTACTTATCTGTTTGATCACGCCCCCTTACCTTTACTCACCCCGCTTTAGTACCTATGTTCTTTCAAAACTATAAGCAAGAACGTATATATTGGAGGTTGCAGTCAAGTCATTAATAAGCATCACCCTGTGTTTGGCAGTATATTACTGTCAACTCTATTCAGGCCAGTTCTCGGAAATTGAAGAGGGATACATTAAAGCCACACAATGAGCTCTTGACCTTTTCAAAGGAATAAAACCAAGTTTCCTAGAAATTGCAAGATTCTTTCCCTAATCACTAAGATGAACCATATCCAAATCCCCGTGGACTACAATACGGTCTATAAACACGCGTCTTGTAGTCTGTTTTCTCGTATTAAGATCACTCTTGTACTAGTGAACTTCACTCTTAAGCGTGAAAATAGAAATTTAAAAACTCTAAAACCGACTCATTTGTCGAAAATAACTAAAAATCAATGAACAGAAAATACCTGAGTGATTGATGTAAAAATGTGAAATCGTGGAAATTTCGTAGACGTTTCCTTTACTATGGGAAAGCTTAACGCAGATTGTAATTGCATGTTCTTTATAAGGAAAAGGCAGCGTCTAACAAGGAACGTCACGCTACAGATGTTTGCGGTGAGATACGGCTCTGTCGATAATGGTCGAATTCTGTAGATTCTAAACTATATATGCATGCGATTGACCCGAACGCGTATCGTAGAATAACCATTTGATTAATTAGTTTTAAGTGCTACTGGGTTTGTAAAGGTTTATTGCCAGTTGCCCTAATACAATTCAAACAACTTCTGATATAAGCATCAATCTGGATATAAGCTTCAACGACCAAGTTTTGTGAACATTATAATACATTACCTACATAAAAACTCATTACCTACATGAAAACTTATAAAATAGTATTTATCACTTATTACGTCAGATTGCGTTTTATGTTTTGGTCAACCTTCCATTCATAGCGCCTGGACCCAATATCGTATATCTGGTGGATTTAAAAGTAACATTCAAGGTTTCCTTGTAGTAAAGCATTATGAACCCTCAAAATTATGTCTTTGATGAAGATTGTTATAGCAAAAAACTTATGTTTGGTATGTTTCATCGTTTAGATTCCTAGAAATACCTATTTAAGTGCATTTCCATAAAATTAAAAACTCGCCCTAGGCAATAAATAAATAAATAAAGCAAACGATATTTACCTGATAACAATACCTGTAAGCTTTTCGAAGGATCGCAAGTGATTGTTTGTTGTGTTCTCTGGCTCAGCCAAACTCCTCAAATGAAAAATATTCGTTTCTCCTCACTGCTTTATACATGAACGTGCATCTAGCACAGTTTACACTAAAAACTTTCCAGATTTACAGGTATAGAGAACCTGGTGTGTTATCTCTTAGTAAGCGGCCCTCTGTTGTCTTCAATACTTCGTACGTTTCGACGAGTTTTATAGCGCCCCAATACCGC